TATAAGAAGAATTTGTAAAAAAAATTAGTGTAAATCACCAGAATATGAAAAATTAGGCATGTCTAATAAAGATTGAATAATATTAAATATACTAATCCCTTATACAAAATCTCTCTACAAACTGATATGACACAGAGTGAATAAATAAATTTGTATACTAAATCAGTAATAATTATTATTTAATATAGATAAAGATAGACAATAAAAATGTTTGAATTATTTGAGGAGGCAGGTAAATAGTAATTCATGCTCAACAACCATTCACCATGGGTGTTCTCTCTGAAAGTGGCCTTACTTTCACCCTCGTTAACCATTTTCTTCCGATGATCGTGATGTTAACAGACAAAATATTTTTGGTTTTTTTTTTTTTTTTCGAACAAATGACTCCATAAACCTACTGTCAAGATGGTGGTCCTGCATCAACATGTAAATCAAAGTCACACCAGCGTTAACTCTTAAATGTCAGCACAAATTAGAGAACAAAAAGAGGGTATACTAATACTACCTTCCATTCAAAAAAAGAAAATTACTTGAAAAGGTAAATTTCATACCTTAGGCCATCGGAATAATAACGCGGGGTTTACAGGTATCAATGCCTCACATTTAAGGATCACCTCCGAGATAGCGGCCATTCCCTCTAAGGGATTCCGAGTTGCAAATGTCCTATGCTGGTAGACATCCACGCTAAGTGCATACTAGTCTACTGCCTTCTGTATCTCATCCCAAGTGGCTACTGAAAAGGTCTCCAGTGCGAGACCCGCTGGGGTGCCTGGCGCCTGCAAGCTCGTCCCTTCAGCTGCTCTGGTCGTTGAGGCATCCATTACTTCTAAAGTCTGAAAAAGGGGCGACACACAGAGATAACTCAGTCTCCATATAGTGTTCCGTACGATGACATGGAAGAGTAAAAGAAACCCTAATGTTCCTTCCTTAACCCATAGAAAAACCCTAAAAACCTTTGGGGATGAATCCCCAAGGATTAGTGCCCTAAGTTCTCGCTCTTTATAAGGACAAAAGCTCTCTTCTCACCATTGTCCGGAAATACACACCATGCCAGATACTTCATATCCACCATTATCGTCAAGTCAAGCTATTAACAAAATAATAAAAGAAAACAAAGGAGAAATCCTCCTTACCTCTTGGCTGCTGGGAATGAACTTCTTATCGTAACGGGGAGTGCGCATCAACTGGAAAAAGGGCAGATTGATTTTGTGAGAGTTTTGTTTTTCTTTGAAAATATGAGTTCTGTGACAAAACTTGAAGCGAGCTCGAGATTTTATAGGGAGAAAAATGACGATTGGTTTCCCTAGGCGAGCGACGCTTGGGCAGGATATGTTTCTCGACATTGATTGCGACCACATGTTGTTAATCCATGAGAAAAAGTAACCCCCATGCTTTGTGAATGCCAATCGACGTTTCCCTCCATTGGAACAACCAAGCGACGGCTCGATTATCTCCTCCACATTAAATGCGCCCTCATCCGCATTTAATGCTCTGAAACAGAATGTCGTTTGACTTGCATTTAATGTGCATGTCTGGCACTTATTGCACAATAGACATGTCTATCAAAATAATGATTATTTTATTAACCAAACTAGCTATCAAGTGTAATGGATAACATCTGAAGAGGTCGTTCAAGTAAAACACTCTTCGCCATGTATCGGTTTCAAGATGATGTGATTCCTTTCTTTCGGTAAAAATGTACTAAGTTTCTCAGGTAGCAAGCTGCAAATGAGATTCAAAGCATGTCGGTATGGCACTGAGCAAGTTCTGACCCAAGTTGTTGAACCTGTGGGAGAAGGCCACCTCAGGTCACTTGTGCTATTCTTAGAGGTATATGCTAGACCTCCTTGCAGCTTGACTAGCTTGACCAAACGTCATTCGGGACAAGTCAAGTCATGGCATAATCATGAAGTTATCAAGGTTCAATCCTTAAACCTTAAAAACTGGGGGGCTTTTGTTATACCTAAAAAGTCAAGGTTGACGTGGACTCTCGTCAGCAAGAGCCAAACAGAATTCAAGGAGGAGTTGTTTGGTCTAGACATTGTCACGTTGCATAATAACGGAAGAGGTATGATTCTCGTCAGTGTGGCAGGTGAATGCTTGGCTTGCGAGTGGCTAGGAATCGTCCACCTGTCCGAGCCTTACGAATTGTACCCCATATGTCGGACTGCATGCTCATGATTATTACCTTGAATCCTCCCACTATAAATAGAGGGCTCCTCTCTTATTTATGGGATTAGCTTATCTTTAGTCTTAAACAGCATACTCTCTCTCTCTCTCTCTCTCTCTCTCCTATATATTATATATATATATATATTATATATAATATATATATATATATATATATATATATATATATTATAATATATAATATATATATATATATATATATATATATATATTCTCTCTAGATTGTAACTCATCTCACTACATGCGACCTAACTGTACCACCTATTTAGACAATTATAGTGGACGTACGAATCGTTTTTGAGCATCTGAACCACTTTAAAAACCATCTCTTATTTAGTCTCTTGCTACATATTTCCATATCACGTGTAACTTCTAAGTCTGCTTAGCATTTTGCACATATGAGTCGTTAATATCGAAATCAAGCATCAACAACTATATTCTTCGTTACTAGCCGTTGCGGCTATCCCCTTTCTACTGTAATTGTTCCTTCCATTTTCAAAGCTATTTGATGGTACTTCTGTATTATTTGGTCCTGTAATGTTTTCATCTCCATGGCCGCATAATGATGATGATGATCCACTAGCCTTGATGCTCCTAATTGCCATCAAGTATGGAGAAACCTTGACGGCCTTGGGCAGATATACTATGATCTTTGAAGTCTCTGCATTTGAAGTGTTTTGATCATTCTTCTTAGGTTTCTTTCCATTGTTGAACTGGTTTCTCTTCTTTACTACTCTTGCTGGTGTTGGGTGTTCAGTTTTTTCTCTACTTGTTTCCAATTTCCTTCTAAGATAAGAATTCCAGTAGTTTTTAATCTCATTGTCAATTCGACCTAGTGTCTTTTAGCAATGAGAGACCAACGATTGCCAAGAAGAGAATGAAGCCTGATGATAAAGTCCTCCTCATCAGATGAAATATTCCCTCATTTGATATCCGGTGGCAGATAATTCACCCATCTCAGCGTGCAACTCTTCCCACATCGAAGTAGCCCTAAAACATTAAACAATTATGAAATAAACAAGCAAATTTTAGTTATATACTAAACTTGGAAATACAAATGTTTAAACAATTATGAAATAAACAAGCAAATTTTAGTCATATACTAAACTTGGAAATACAAATGTTTAAACAATTATGAAATAAACAAGCAAATTTTAGTCACATACTAAACTTGGAAATAAAAATGTACAGATGAGTTGAGTATTACCGGCTCTTTTAGGCAAATTCCTCCAATGGCCTTCACCATGAATCCGAATATAATAAATTAACACACTATCTTCTTTAGGACTCCATGGACCTGTGCGCAAACCAACCTTAGAACAGCATGGGGTTCTTCCCTTACTTTATCTTCCTTACTTACTCCCTACACAAATGGAAGTCTTATAGAGAAGCTTATAAGAAGATGATGATGGAACTATAAATTAAATTCAACAGCTTCCCACAATTTAAAAAGATCAGTAAAAGTCTAGGACGTCATGATCCAGCATTATTCTGAAATGATTTTTTATTAAAATTTTAAAATTTTCGATATTCGAATCAAAAGTTAATTGTTGACTTTACATGAGACAAATTATTTATAGTGAACTGAAAGAATATGTTATCTATTTTTTTTTTTTTTTCATAGGAAATTAGAAAATATCATTTATGTTAAGATTGTATGTGGGGATTTTAACTTGAGAACTTTGGTTCTTATGCCATGTCAAGTTATCATCCCACCAAAAAACTTAAGCTTGTAGATTAGGTCTCAACATATAGTAAACCAACACCATGAAGGTAAAAGACCACTAAACCATCATGTGGCGTCAACAAAACTTTACATAAAACCATAATTTAAACTGAAGTATACCCCCTATCTCCTTAAAGGTAAAATACCATATCAATATATTTTCATTTAATTTTCTATACAAGGATTTATTAACTAAACTTAATGGATTGAAAAGTTAATTTTTGTATGGATGATAATATTTGAAATTTTTTTCACTTGAGATAAAATCCTTACTCCCCACTGCACGTAAGATTATTTGCTTCTTTAACCTAAACTTAAAAAAAGGGTTTGAGGCGATGCTTGCCCAATAACCCTTCACTCTCTGCCTTTTTCTCTGAAATTGCTCCTTACTTTTGTTAATTCGTTTATCTAGGAAAATACGCATGCCTATGATATGTTCTTGCATTATATATGTAATTAACTTACAAGATGTACTAAAGACGTTAGAGGTAATTCTAATTCATACAGAAATACTTAATTTAAATTTTGAGTTATGATAACGAGGAATTAATTACTGCATGGCCAGCTACTTTAATCAAACAGAAAAGGTATCCGCCAAGGAATCAAATTGCACGTTGTTCTCCGAGTTGAGAAGCTTCTCATACTCCGCAATTATTTCATCTAGCGTAATGTTATCTTCAATGGGTAGGAAGTCTAAGAATGAATTATCAATTTCATTAGCAAGACCGAATTCTTCTATATGAACCTTAGCAGCTGCAGCTTTTTCTATAAGATCAAACCGACTTCTCAGTAGTTCTTCTGTATCATGTGGTCTTATAATATTTCCTTCTCCATGGCAAGGTGATGATGATCTAGTACTTTCCATGGTATCGAAACCCACGACGTTCTCAATTGCAATAGAGTATGGCGAAACCCTAACTGCCTTGGGGATATATATTTTGGTATTTAAAGTGTCTTCGTTTGCAGCACCGTCCTTGTTCTTCTTCTCAAGTTTTCTCTTTTCAGCGGTGGACTGGCTGCTTGGTATTTTCTTGACCACTCTACTTGTTTCCACTCTCCCACTAAGACGGCAATTCCAGTAGTTTTAAATCTCATTGTCAGTTCGGCTAGGTAATCTTTCTGCGATGAGAGCCGAACGATTGCCAAGAAGAAAATGAAGCCTGATAATAAGGTCTTCCTCATCAGAAGAGATGTTTCCTCTCTTTATGTCTGGTCGCAGATAGTTAACCCATCTTAACCTGCAACTCTTACCACATCTAAGTACTCCTGCACACAATCCAAATATAGAAAGTTAGACAAGCAAATTAAATCTGTCTACGAATAAAATGCTTCATTGAATTGATGTACTAGTAATTAGCTATCTAAAGTAGTACCAGCTCTTGCAGGCAAATTTCTCCAATCGCCTTCACCATGTACCCGAATATAATTAATTAGCAGAGTATCTTCTTCAGCACTCCATGGACCTGTATACAGACCCTGTTTAGAGCAACAAGGGGCTCTTCCCATTTTCCTCTTTTACAAAAATAAGCAATACTCAAAGAGAAAGAAACCAAGGACGGCACGAGTCAGGACAACACTTATTATTATTAATATTATTATTGTTAATAGCTTATGTGTTCGGACAGTTTACTCGTATCTCAATTAATTTTAAGGAGAAACTATCATACATCAACCCACCGCATGATCTCCTAAATAAATCATGAGTAATGTACTACATTTGCATCTAATAGAGAATCAAATTTGAGACTTTGGGTTTTACCCATTTGCAGTCCCCTTAGACCTGGTTCGCCCTTACCGTTGAGCTACCCATGGATGGGTTATCTCCCAGATTTGAAAATGTTCCACCTATCGGACCGTCATATCACTTACTAATTGATTATTTATAATAGAGAATTATCAACTTATATTGCAGAAATAAATTCCAATTATTAGCGATCAATTGCAACTCATATATGAAGCAAAAAAAATATTTGTTTGGCTGTCTGCTACTAGAAATATTTGTCTGCCCGTTAATACATGCATTATATGAGATTAGTAGGGAAAATTCCGATATTTCAATGTGTTCAACACCAACAAGTGAAAACATTTCTTTATTTTGGTTTTTGAAACTGAAACACATCAAAATTATGAAGAAACATGTTTCAATTATTTTCACCGTTTAAATGCCAATTGCCAAACTCCAGTCAAGAAATAAAAGATGCAGTATTAATCGTTAGGACTGACTTGCAAGATTCTCAGACGAGGAATTGCTAGAAGTTTCGAGCAGCTGGGCTTTTAGTAGGAAAGGAAAATTCAAAGCTGCCTTTTTTTTTTTTTTTTTTTTTTTTCTGATAGCTTCGGGTCTCTCCATACTCGAAGCTATGAGACTAATCATGATTGGAGCTCGGGTAAGTACCTCTAGTCACAGGGTACTGCCGGTGCGATTCAAACTCTGACATTGCAGATAAAGTTCGCCCCACCTTTTATTTTGTTTTAAATGTTACTGAATTCTGCTTACCGAGATGGCTAAAGTGCCAAATCTTACACAATGAAAAGTAAATGGCCCTTCTACTGTAAGTAAATCGATAGAGCAAACGCAATGGAAAACGAAAATTTTTCCCATCGATTACTCTGATTAACCCAAGATCATAGTCTAATATGTATATACTTTACATATTTAAATTGAAAAGAACAAATATAACATTAATCAAGATAAGGATTAGAGATCTTATGCACGTTTAGAGGATCTTTCAAATATCTCTGAATCTACTTCACCACCGATCCAAGAATAGGATCGAACGAATGGTAATCTACACGAAGACAATCCAAAGAACCAAGGGATTTGCTAGATCCTCTTTGGCTTCAAGAATCAAAACAAAATCAAAGAAAAATCTTTGATTAAAAAATGGAAGGCAAACGTGAGAGGAGCAGGGAAAAGGAGTTGTCTCTCTTTGTCTTTTTTCTTTGATTGAATGAATTAATTCATTCATTCTCTAACACACATGCACTTATATAGTGCATGTGTCAAAACTCTACTCCAATGAGGAATAGGTATGACTCCAACCTTGTATCCAAACACCTCCCTTGTGGTATTTTTATTTTAAATTACTTATTATTATAATTAAAGTCAATTAATATATTTATGAAATATATTAACATTTAATTAACAATAATAATTCATTTAAATATATGCGTACATATATTTAAATATAATCTCACATATTTGATTTTAATATTAAATTAAATATAGGCAATAACCTCAGCAAATTTAATTGCACTGTGAGATTACCAAAATACCATTTCATCCTAAAAGACAAAAATACCCCTTACATAAACTGATTCTTAAATTATCTTCTATGTGTGTGACCCGTACACTCCTCATCATACCGACAATGAGCAATATCACGATTAAAATCAATTAATCGTCTCACTACACACAGATCGAGATTAGTCCCTAACAAGACATCATGGCCACCCAATAGATTCGGATTCAGTGAAACAGCTACCTGTCAATAATATGGTTACTGTGCAATCAAATTCTTTCATCATCTATTATATCATTGAGACTGAGGTACAAAAATAGTGTTAACCTCGGTTACTCTCGATGTGTTTATATTCAGTTACTGAACCAATGACCGGAATAATAAATTGGATTAGGCAACGACTCAATCCCATTGTGGCCACCTGTATACTCCTCATCATACTGGCAGTGAGCAGTATCGTGATTAACATCAATTAATCGTCTCACTACACACAGGCCAAAATGGGCTCCTAGCAAAGCATCATGGCCACCTAATAAATTCGGATTCAGCGAAGCAACTACCTGTCAACGATATGATTAACGTGCAATCAAATCATTTCATCATCTGTTATATCATCAAGACTGAGGTACAGAAATAGTGTTAACCTCAGTTACTCTCGACGTGTTTGTATTCAGTTACTGGACCAATGACCGGAATAATAAATTGGATTGGGCAACGACTCAATCCCACTGTGGCCACCCGTAGACTCCTTATCATACCGGCAGTGAGCAGTATCACGATTAATACCAATTAATCATCTCACTACACACAGATCAAGATTAGCCCCTAGCAAGGCATCATGGTCATCTAATAGATTCGGATTCAGCGAAGCAACTACTTGTCAACGATATGGTTATCGTGCAATCAAATCCTTTCGTCATATATTATCTCATTGAGACTAAAGTACAGAGATAGTGTCAACCTCAGTTACTCTCAATGTGTTTGTATTCAGTTACTGGACCAATGACCAGAATAATAAATTGGATTGAGCTACGACTCAATCCCACTGTGGCCATGGATTTAGTGTCATTACCATTTACTAAATTGTGCAGTAAGATAACTTCTCCTGCTGAATCCTTTGTCAATCCATCATAGTCTTGATATACTCCTCGATGCAACCAATCACTACCGTATTGATAGCTTTGAATAGAACTACGTTGGGCTAGTGTCAAACTATACCAATCAGTGTACAAGGTGCTCTGGTGATCTCAAGTCTAAAGATCACATGCACCACTATTCATTGGAGGATTTATTCCATAGAATCTGGGGTTAACATCTATATGGAATCCTCTGATGGGTCAGTTCATTGAACTTGCCTACAACAAGCACCCATGTATTGCATCAGGTTGTCGGCAAACAACTTTACCTTGACAAGTGAGATCAATCACTGCCTTTCGACAGGGTCATTCAACGCTATGATAGTCTTACCGTATTATATGTGTCCTTGGTTAGAATAATATTGAGGCTACGGACATTTCTAGAATGGCCACCATATGTGCTCATAGGATTCTCACTATTAAGATTTGAAATATTTGATACCCTCGTCATGGTTCTACCATCCTAAGAACATATATCAATACGTATGAATATGATTTACACGATATAGAATAAAATGTTTTTTATTAATCAATGAACATTATTATAAATAGTCAATTTTACAATAATTGGTTGGCTCTATGACACTCTAACATCTACTTACCATAATATTACAAACGGGGAAGGTATATAAACTTGCAAATGATACTTATTATGTAACTGCTCCTAAATCTTAGGAAACAATCACACAAAAAAAAAGAATCAAATTGGACGCTGTCATCGACGTTCAGAAGCTGCTGATACTCCTCAACAACTTTATCTAGCATGTTATCTTCAATTGGTACGGAGTCTAGGAATGAACTATCACATGCATTATCAAGACTACATCCTTCGTAATTCACAGCTTCTTCCTGAAAAAGATCAGGCCACAATGGGGAATGAATATTCCATGGCACTTCTTCCGTATTATTTGGTGTTACAATGTTATTTCCTTCTTCTTCATGGCCCGATGATGATAGCCCACTAGCCTTGTTATCCAAACCGATGTTTCTGACTGTCACTGAGAATGGGGAAACCTTAACGGCCTTGGGGAGATATATTTTGGTGTTTGTAGTCTCTGCTTTTGAACTGTCCGTACTCTTCTTCTCAAGTTTCTTTACATTGGTGAACTGGCTCTTCTTCTTTCCCACTCTTGATGCTTTTGGTTGAGTTACTCTACTACCTGTTTTCACTTTCCTGCTAATATGGGAATTCCAGTAGTTTTTAATCTCATTGTCAGTTCGACCAGGTAGTCTTTTAGCAATGAGAGACCAACGATTGCCAAGAAGAGAATGAAGCCTGATGATAAGGTCCTCCTCATCAGATGAAATGTTCCCTCGTTTGATATCCGGTCGCAGATAATTCAACCATCTCAGCCTGCAACTCTTCCCACATCGAAGTAGCCCTACAAATTAAACAATTATCAAATAAGCTGTGGAATTATATCTGCTTACTATCAGCGAATTGATGTAACAGTTGAGTTTAGTCTTACCGGCTTTTTTGGGCAAATTTCTCCAATCGCCTTCACCATTTGCCCGAATATAATTAGTTAGCACACTATCTTCTTTCGGACTCCATGGACCTGTACGCAAACCAACCTTAGAGCAACACGGTGCCCTTCCCATTTTTCTTTCCCAGCTACTAGCTAAGCTGAGGAGAATTGTATTGAACTCTAACGACTACAGCAGTTTCCCACATTTAAAGGTCACAATGAAGTCTCGCGAGAATGATGCTGAAATAGTCTTATACGCGTAAGTTAGATTATGAACTGTTACTTGATGTTCGTAGGATTATTTCTTCATTGAACTGAACTTCAGACAGGGTTTTAATTATTTGCCGAATGTGGTAAGTAGTAATATGCTTCCTCAGCAACCCTTCACCATCTGCCTTTCTCACTGACTCTGAAATTGCTCCTTACTTTAGTTTAGCTAGGAACATGCCTAGCTATGATATGAAACTTAATTAAACTCAGGTTTTCTTTTTTTCTTTTTTTTGTAAATAAAGTATAAGAAGAATTTGTAAAAAAATTAGTGTAAAATCACCAGAATATGAAAATTTAGGCATGTCTAATAAAAGATTTGAATAATATTAAATATACTAATCCCTTATACAAAATCTTCCTTACAAACTGATATGACACAGAGTGAATAAATAAATTTGTATACTAAATCAAGTTAATAATTATTATTTAATATAGATAAATGATATGACAATAAAAATGTTTGAATTATTTGAGGAGGCAGGTAAATAGTAATTCATGCTCAACAACCATTCACCATTGGGTGTTCTCTCTGAAAGTGGCCCTTACTTTTCACCCTCGTCTAACCATTTTCTTCCGATGATGATCGTGATGTTAATAGACGAACCTATTTTCGGTTTTTTTTTTTTTGAACAAATGACTCAATAACCATTACTGTCAAGATGGTGGTCCTGCATCGACATGTTAAATCAAAGTCCACACCAGCTTTTAACTCTTAAATGTCAGCCACAAATTAGAGAACAAAAAGAGGGCATACTAATATTCATATCATTTCATCAAATTTAGATTCTGATATTCAAAGTCAATCTTGATCCCATAACACGAAGTATTAAAGATCCTAATTATGGTATGACTAATTAATTTCTTTGATTTAACATATGTGGAAAAAAGTTTGATTTTGAAGCTCATTCATAACATGCATGGATAATTTGCTTCATTAAACTGATCTTCAAAAGGGTTTGAATTATTTACTTCATTAAACTGATCTTTAGAAGGGTCTGAATTATTTGCCGAAGGTGGCAAGTAGCTAGCAATGCTTGCTCAACAACTCTTCTATATCTGCCCTTCTCTAAAATGGGTTATGGCCTTATGGGTTCCTTCTTTTCACGCTTTGCTTCATAACTATTTATAATTTCTTTGGATGATAGAAATGTTGTACAAGTGGTATCTCTGTACTGTCTTATCATAATTCAGTGGTGGAGCCTATCTAGGGTTTTATAATATTCCAAAAACTCACAAAAACTTTATAACATGTGAAGGAAAAATCAATATAATAGGACAAGAGAATCATTACACCTTCTTTTCTTGTGAGTTGTCGAAAGAAATGTACCCCACAACCACTATATAAATTACAATTGATCAACCAGCTACATTTGTCTCTTTGCTAAATTTCTATAGAAATTCTAACGTAACAAAGGCAGATGGTGATCCAAGATCAACATGAATTTAACTCTTAACGTTATATCAATGTCAACTTCAGAAATTAAACAACAAAAAGAGGGGACTTTCCATGATACATATATTGATATATCTGTGGAATCAAGATCAACATTCATGACAAACGATTTAAGATTACTTTTTCTGATGGAGCCACCAATTATTAAACGTCCTATATATATGATATGACGGCTAATTTCTTTGATTTAATTTCCTAATGCTTCAAATGATATTTTAATTATATTTTAGATCTTTCTTGCTGTACTGCACACATCTTTGTGCAATAAAGTCGTATACATTATTACACAGTAACACAAATAATTAACAAAACATTATTTGTGTAACAATGTCGTATGCATGTATACGACATTATTTGTGTAATTAATATCAGAAAACTGTTCAATAATTAGCTTGAAACGACTGTGGAATATTATTAATAGTAACCGTAAGAATATTTAATCAACAGAAAAATGATCTTGTTTTTTTGTTTTTATTTGCTTTGATTATGGCCCTATCATATGAACTTGCTAAATATAAATTTGAGAGCGAATTAACATGGAGAAACAAAAGATCTTTAGTCCCAGAAAATAATTTGTTAGCATGATATTTTACAGCATCGTTATTCACTGATTGAGTGTTTATTTGGTATACTCCAACTTTCTTCAAATTGTCTTTCTTGCCTTCTCAATTTTGACATAGCACTAAAGCTCCTCTCTCAATTCTAACACATCCATTTTAACCTGCAACTCTTCCCATAACGAAGTACCCCTTTCACACGTAAAAACCAAATATAGAAATTAGACAATTATGAAATAAGCAGTGGAATGATATCTATTTATGAAAACAAATTTCAGTAATATACAATTATGAAATAAACAAGTAGTATTTACTTCATTAATTAAACTAATCTTCAAAATGGGCAGTAATACTAATGCTTGATTATATTCAAAAACACATTTTCATGAGATATATTGTATCCATTTTCAAAAACACGTTTAGGATTATATTCGAAAACTATTTTCAAAAACATTTCTAACACAGTTCTACAAAACACATTTTCATGAGATATATTGTATCCATTGTTTTAATATTCATGTATAAAGCTAATCTAGACCCTCAAAACATGAATTATTAGGGATCTTAATTACGATGATGGCTAATTAATTTCTTTGACTTAACTAAGAAGCTACGAATCTGGGTGGCTAAGAAGGAAACTAAATTAGATGACCAATCAACCAGACCTTATTGGAGGACCAAACAATATACATATATGTAATAGATTGTTAGGTTGTATTGCAGAGCCCTAAAAGCGGGACTATATAAAGTCTTCCTGAACATGCATGTTAATATTTCTCGAATTTATAATTATAATTATCCCTTTGTAGAAGCTTTATCATGTAAATTACCCATATTAGAATTTTTTTTATTTTTTTTTTATAACCGGGGATGTCCGGAATAGTTTATACGTACCTCAATTAATCTTTCGGCACCCTAGAACTATCGATCAAATAAGAGTTCTAGTAGCTACTTCTATTAACAATCAAGAAGGGACTCAAACTCAAGATCTCGTTAGTAATACACCCAAAAGTTATTATCGAACCACTCAATTACCCAAAAATAGTTACATTATAATTTAAAACATTACAAAGTTATTGATTGTAATAACTAAATCTGCGAGGAAATTGTAAGCACGTGTTCATCTACCCACACAACAACTTATCAAATTAAAACTGCAAACCTTGAGTAGTGTAATTAGACCTGCAAATTGCGGGGAGAGAGGGCAATTATTTGGAGAGAGGGTAGAGAGAATCTAAGCAGTGGATCATATGAATTGAGACATGGGACATTTGTTTTTCTATTGTATTGTGTATTATAATTAGTTTGTCCGGTTAGTTGAAAAGAAAAGGAGGTGGAGTTAAAATAGCATGGCGCTAGTATTATTTAATATTTTATCATACTATAAAGTCAGAAAACGTGGAAAGTAGGTATGTGACAGCAGCTGTACTTTATTTTAATTGATATGATATACGTACGACGACATTTCAAATTTACAATTAATATGCCTCATCTTTGATCGTCAACAGGAATTACTCAGACAGAAAAAGGAGAATCTGATTGGACATTCTCCTCAAATTCCAGAAGCCGCTGATACTCCTCTATAATTTTGTCTAGCGTGTTATCTTCAATGGGTACAAAGTCTAGGAATGAAATATCGCTCTCATCATCAATACTATATTTTTCGTTGCCAGCCGCTGCCGCTGTCCCCTTCCTACCGTAATTGTTCCTTCCATTTTCAAAGCTATTTGATGGTACTTCTGTATTATTTGGTCTTGCAATGTTTTCATCTCCATGGCCACATAATGATGAAGATGATCCACTGGCCTTGATGCTCTTAATTGCCATCGAGTATGGAGAAACCCTGACGGCCTTGGGGAGATATACTTTGATCTTTGAAATCTCTGCGTTTGAAGTGTTTTGATCATTCTTCTTAGGTTTCTTTCCATTGTTGAACTGATTTCTCTTCTTTACTACTCTTGCTGGTGTTGGGCGTTCAGTTTTTTCTCTACTTGTTTCCAATTTCCTTCTAAGATGAGAATTCCAGTAGTTTTTAATCTCATTGTCAGTTCGACCCGGCAGTCTTTTAGCAATGAGAGACCAACGATTGCCAAGAAGAGAATGAAGCCTGATGATAAGGTCTTCCTCATCAGATGAAATGTTCCCTCGTTTGATATCCGGTCGCAGATAATTCACCCATCTCAACCTGCAACTCTTCCCACATCGAAGTAGCCCTAAAAGATTAAACAATTATGAAATAAACAAGCAAATTTTAGTCATATACTAAACTTGGAAATCCAAATGTACAGATGAGTTGAGTCTTACCGGCTTCTTTAGGCAAATTCCTCCAATGGCCTTCACCATGAATCCGAATATAATTAATTAACACACTATCTTCTTTAGGACTCCATGGACCTGTACGCAAACCAACCTTAGAACAACATGGGGCTCTTCCCATATTTTATCTTCCTTACTTACTCCCTACACAAATGGAAGTCTTATAGAGAAGCTTATAAGAAGAAGATGATGGAGCTATAAATTAAATTCAACACCTTCCCACAATTTAAAAAGATCAGTAAAAGTCTAAGTCATCATCCAGCATTATTCTGAAATAATTTTATATTATGTCAATATCATATATTAACTTTCATTAGCTTTTGAAATTAAAATCATACATTGATCTAAAGTTGATTGGAGGCCAAGATATTACTTGATTCACAATAACAAATCCATTGAACTGATCTGATCTTCAAAAGGGTTTGACTCGTTTGCTTAAGGTGGTAATCAAGAAGTAATGCTTACTCAACCACCCTTCTCTATCCGCCATTCTCTCTCAAATATTCCTTAATTACTTTTCAGTTTTCAACTCCTTCTTCTTCTTCTTAGTTTCTTACGATCATGATGACTTGATTCCAGTTGACCATCGCTGTCCTTTAAATATCCACGATCATTATTAATTGGAACTTCAATACCTTAATATTTTACACACTCAAATATAGTTGGTTTTGTTTTAAGAGACAAGACAATAATAGAAACAATCTAAAAAATGAATGTAAAATTGAAAACGAAGAAGCAAATAATTTTTAAATATTAAAAGATCAAGATAAAACTTTAGTTTAATTTTTAATTATATGTTAATATATAAAAATTATTTTAATATTAAACAAATTAAGCAAGCTCATATTATTGTGGCACAATGATGATTGGATTATTTTCACCATTCTCCATACGTAATTGACATTAGACAACTTCATTTTAATTAATTAATATAAAAATATTAAGGTATTTATCACAAAGACAGATGTATACATTATGGTTCGTTACAGTTTACTTGAAATTTATTATATAGTTTCCACCGGTGCATAAGTCTTACCTAGCTAGTGATAGGCCAATGTAAATTTATAAGATAAGTAGTAATCACTAGTGAAGACAACCGATGTTTATTTAGACACTTATATTAGTACTACAATTAAAGTGCAGCCCTATAATATAATTATAAATTCTTATGGTTTTAGAACTTGGACTAAACCAACCGATCTGATCAGTCTGATCGGAAACTAGTCCCTAATCTGGCCTATTGAATGATTAAAACTTGTTTTAGCTATTGGACCAACCGTCGGGTCAGAGAATCGGTTCGAGGTTTGGATGAATTTATTTTAGAAATTTATTAACTATTAGAATTTTAAAATTTTATTATATCATATTGACATCAGCATGATGTTATCGGTCCAACCTATTGGTCGAAACAATCGGACCGTCTGAGTAGGGGATCGGCCCCTTGACACCGTCCGGGTTTAAAAACATTGATTAATATTAGTTTGTCCAACAAAATATCTTAGTGTGAGTGCTTTGGTTGTAAGGAAACTTTTTTCTTCACGAATCATTAACTCATTGGATTATTACAAACAATATTTAATAATAAATTAATCTTTCATCTTAAACACGTAATTCTTCTACTAACTATCCACCATATACTGAAATCACGGGATATAATTGATCTTGATAAAGTTTAATTAAAGTGTTTTTGTTTTTGGAAAAAAAATGGTCTCATTAATTATGAGTTGGATTTTTTCTATATGTTGGACTTTAGTCTTTCTTTTGTTTTTATTCATTGCCTAATTCTAGATTGAACGTGCTACATATTAATTAAAACTATAGTCTATAGAAGATGGCAGTCCAACATAAACATAATATTTATTCAAAATCGACACCAAATTTAAACTCTAGTGTTTATCATTAATAAAAAATGATATCTGACTGTGGACCAACCATGATACTGATTCATGATTCGTCCATCTTTTCAAGTGGACAAATTAAGATATTATTTATATCATTCCATGAAAGTTTGATTCCAATTAATCACCCACAGAACATTCCAGAAAGCCATTTTTTTGATTAATTAAACGTTTTCATTAATTATTCCATTCAAATGAGATGATTTTATATTAGGTCTTTCTTACTGCACTGCGTGCTGCATGAGTTTTTTGTTTTAGGCGACGTAGTATTATAGCTAACATATGTGGCAGGTTTGATTTTGAAGCTTCTTGTTACGAAAACTCAGTTATAACTCGCGATACTCAATTGATTGTGACAGAATTGAGCCGGGTGTATGCGTAATTAAGAATCAGCAAGAAATTAATAAGAATCAATGAAAAAAGAACACTAAAGACGACTTTTAAAATGGTTCGGCAAATTAAATCAAGTCTACGTCCATTATTCTTTTATTAATATGTTTAATAGACAATTATAATCAATAGACTTGCTTTTTACTTTACAAGAATAAGCTCTCTCTAATTTTTTTTGGTTATGGTAATTAGTGACCACCCCTTGCCCTTGCAACAACTTGAACTCAGATCTCTTATACAGTGAATTTTTTTTATTTTTTATTTTTTGGGTATTTATACTATAGGATGATAACAGTTACAAGAGAAGATTTCGAGATAATGACTTGATTTTAGGGAATCAATCCCATGATCCTTGGTGTGATTGATAGGCCGATATTGTAAAGAGAGTTGTCGTGATCTTCTCATTGATTTTAGAGGATACTACTTATCTTCGAAGGTAGGTTTATCCATGATCTGGAAGATAACTGTCAAAAAGCTCGTTTTACCTTGGACATAGCTCGTTACAATCTAATTGCAGCTCGCTTCAATTTGGTCGTGTATTATAAGTTACGTCGAACTATAGCTCACTCCAAGCTACTGCTTACGCCGAACTGGTCACTCATCCTCACACAACATTTCAATTCAATTTCTTGCTAATCCTTAGAGATCATGCTTACATTTTATTTAATTCCATCAAAGTCAATTAAATATCTCGAGTTGCTGCGAGTTTTCTTAACAATAAAGCTCTTTTATAAAAATTAATGTTGATTGTTCCATTAATTTGCAAATTAATTATATGAATAGGTTGCCCGGGAGGAAGCCCTTAATTTAAAATAATAATAATAAATAAAGAAAAGAGTTGCACGCAAAAGGTATTACCTAACAACCTTACACATATTCAATGGTCTAATTTCTTGGATTTCCTCAAAGTTAAGTAGCTAATTAAACTTTGATTAATTTATTATTAGGGCATGCGATGGCTTTGAATTCCAAGCGTGCTGGGATGTCACACTGCAAACGTCAACATATATATATATTAAATAATGGTTGTATAATTAATTAAAGCTTATCTCATTAATTAACCCACAAAGTGTTACTAATTTAATTAGTCCGATGAATCCACCAATTATTGAAAATCCAAATTATATTATATGATGTTTTGATGGCTAATCAGAAGTCTGGGAGGTTGAAGTGACTTTATTTCTGTTGACATTCGGATGATCACTTATAGTGCTTTACTTACTGAACTGGTATATATATTTTATGCTGAGACTGTCTGGTTTCAATCCCTTTCATAAACTTTAATTCAATCTTTGATATAATACCTGCCTCATTAACAACAATCCATTTTTCAATATAATATAGCATACTCCATCTAAAGATATTTACTATATGATATGATATTGTGAAAATCTTTAAAGCCCAGAAACTAGTTTTTTTTTTTTCAGAGATCTCTATTATTTGTTCGATTCTGTTGTATCTAAAGCATGCATATTATCCATCATGGGTAGTTCAAGTGATACTGTGTAGGACGAGTGCAGGGATGGCTGATTAAGAAGCACAGTCTTAAGTTCGAATTCCCTAGCTCCCAAAATTTAAGCAAAAATAAATAAATTTTAACCACCNATTAATTAACCCACAAAGTGTTACTAATTTAATTAGTCCGATGAATCCACCAATTATTGAAAGTCCAAAATATATTATATGATGTTTTGATGGCTAATTAGAACTCTGGGAGGTTGAAGTGACTTTATTTCTGTTGACATTCGGATGATTACTTATAGTGCTTTACTTACTGAACTGGTATATATATTTTATGCTGAGACCGTCTGGTTTCAATCCCTTTCATAAACTTTAATTCAATCTTTGATATAATACCTGCCTCATTAACCACAATCCATTTTTCAATATAATATAGCATACTCCATCTAAAGATATTTACTATATGATATGATATTGTGAAAATCTTTAAAGCCCAGAAACTAGTTTTTTTTTTTTCAGAGATCTCTATTATTTGTTCGATTCTGTTGTATCTAAAGCATGCATATTATCCATCATTGGGTAGTTCAAGTGATACTGTGTAGGACGAGTGCAGGGATGGCTGATTAAGAAGCACAGTCTTAAGTTCGAATTCCCTAGCTCCCAAAATTTAAGCAAAAATAAATAAATTTTAACCACCCCTGAATTTATTGATTGGATAAATCCTATCCTCCAGAGGGATGATAGGAAAGAGTAATCACTAGAGGATTGGATTTATCCGATTATTAACTTTAATATCTTGAAAGATTGATCGAAGTATATGCACGTTAAACCTGTATACCCTGATCACCAGAACCAGAAAGAAGAAAAAAAAGTAAAGCATGTCGGCCAGTCGGCCTTCGCTTGTGACAAATTTCTCATGGAAAAAGCCCAAGTGAAGGTATTGGAAAGATAAATGGTATTAATAGATTATTATATAATTTGATTGCGTTTCTCTGTGACGTTAGTTTTCATCTATCATCTCATTTATGCTACCATAAACACAATATAACAGTTAATAATTCAAATTGTCCACTCCTTCAGTTTCTTCTGTTATATGAACAAAGTAAAGCGCAGACAGACATGAAACAAATGAAAGAATGATTATAACAATCAACTTCTACGTGTTGAGTGTAATAGTACAATTTCATAAGTTCTTTTCATCTGTCTATTCTATTCAATTCTATATCCAACTGCACCATGCACAGATAAGCAACAGTGCAAAATTGTCGGGAAAATGCCCAGCAACAAAAACAGAGAGCTTAGAGACGAATGGGTAGACCATAATTGAGGTAGGTTCTAATCCGTCCATCCCAGCTTGCTGTAACAACTACAAGACCCCACAAGTGAGGGGAACTTAATAGGCTCTGGCAAGCACTCTTCAACAGCTTCAATTTTGATTTACATAGAGGTGGAGCTGCCTTTGGACTTGCATTCGGAAGTTTCTCCTCCGGCCAAGTAGCAACTCCACCCCTATTTGGATACTCCAACAAGAACCCACGAGCCAGAGAGAAACAATCAGATGGAGAGCGGGATATTTTTTGGTCTGATTCTCCGTTGAGATTTTCATGCTTCTGTTCATTTTCGCTGCTATTTTGCTGAACATCTCCCTCAAATGATGGGGATGGAAGTGTTCCTGGCGTGCTTTCAATGCCAAACCAGGGTATGGCAATTGATGCATTGTGGGACAGGAAACTCTCACAAGACCAAATGGTCTTTGCTTTGGAAGAAGTTTTGTCCTGGTTCGGATAGTTCCAGATGTACACATTGGAATCTTCACTGGCTGAAACTACATGCTTCCCATCTGAAGTAAATGTTGCGGACATCTGGCTTCCAGCAATCCGATAACCTGATGCTGGAAGAGGAAGAAAACTTAAACAATCAACAAATGACAACCACAAGCCTGCAAAACTAGAAAAGATAATATATCCAGCAAGATGCCATTGTAAATGCTCACATAAGATTCAACTAAGTAGAATCATGCACTGCAATAACTTAAGAAGTGTACAATGATAAGCACGCTCAGACCTCTTAAAACACATCAGAAAAAACAAATAAATAATGTAGAAACCCACCCTTGAATTTGCTTATGACATCTGGCCCACAAAGTACTCGGACTAGTGAATCAGCAGAGGTGACAATTACTTTGCTTGGATCACTAGGAGAAAACTGGAGAACAAAATAACTGTTAAATAAGTCTTTTCCCCAGCTAAATGAGAAGAACAAAGCTAACACAAATTAAGTAACATGCAAATATAAGAAGGAATAGAAAACTTAACCACCTGAAAGCCAGTTATCCGATTGCCCGGTAACTTCTTTTTGCCCTGTAGGCATATTTGAGCATGCTGATCCAGTTTGTTATCTGTTTTGTAGGAAACATGATAAAGTCAAAATAAGGCAGATACTCTTTAGGGCATAAAATCGTCATTGTTCTACACATGAGGTTACTAGAAATAAATCCATGTGTTTTCCAATAAACTATCACATAAAGCATCACATGCCATTGTATTGATAATTTTGAGATAACATTTTCACAATACAACTAGCATCAGAACATTCATGTATTCTCAAACAGAAGGGACTAGTAACCAGATAATCTCGAACATAATCAATTTCATCAAAAACAGCCAAACCACATCTTCTTCATCTGACAAAGCTATCTTCAATTCACATGATTTCAATTACCTTCAGGAACTAAAAGCTATAAATTTTAACTCATAAAAACATTCGGCTTATAGTATTTCTGCTGAATGGACTTTGCAATATAGATAAAGAAAAAGTTGGTTTTGAGTCACATATAGGCATACCTATAATATCATATAAAAGGCAGTTGCCGTTCATTGTGCCCACAATTCCTCCCTGCCATGACAAATCAAAGAGATTCTTTGTCAAATTTCTCTTGTTTTGATTTTTCATTCATTGCTAAGACGTAGAAGCAAGAATCTCATCAAACCTTTCCATCAGGTCGGTAACACACAGCAGAGACAATCTCCCTTATGTCAGTGTAATCTACAACCCGACAGTGAAGCACTTCCCAGATGCGAACTTTTCCATCAATTGAACCACTAATGAAATAATTATCATCCAAAGGGTTGAAAGCAACACAAGTCACTGCACCAACAATTTTAATATTAACAAATCAACCTGAAACAACCAAGGATAAAATTATGGAAAGAAATGCAATTTTGACCATACAAATTAACCATCTTTTAACCCATTTCTCATATACATTAAAACGTGGTCACACAACAAGCAAGAGGCTTACCATAATTGTTATGAGAAAATACTCTCAGACATCTGTCACATCCTACTTGCCATAGACGAACTGTCTTATCAACAGAGGATGACAGCAAAAACTGCAGTGAATAAAAATGATAAAGCAACATTAGTTTACAACTGTTTTGGAAGCCGACAAAGTTAACGTTTCCATTACTTCAAACTCCAGAGCATAAATAGAAATTTGATCATGAATGACACTGCCAAGTGAAACTAATTGCTTCCAGATGTTACTGACCCCTTTCTTAGACCACGACAGATCCAAAACCTCACTGCTGTGTCCCTGGAACTCATGCAAAGGCTTCTCCAATATCCGAAAGACCTTTGGTGGTAAAACAACACAAGTCGAGTCAGATGAGCTTCTCAAATTCTTTGTCTTATCTACTTTCTCTTTATCAACATCAAGTGGAGTTATATGGGAAAGCTGATTGATTGTGAAGTATAGACACGAAGGATCAAGGTCTTGAATATCAAATCTGTCCGATCTATCATCCTCAATAACCTGCCACACTCGCACTGTACCATCCTCACCACCACTAGCCAAGTATTGCCCATCCAGACTGAACTTCATTGTCAAAATTGACCCCTCATGTGCCACAAATTCTTGTCCAGTGTAAAGGGAGGATAGTTCCTTTGATCGTTTTTTAAGTGGATGTGCCCGAACTCTTCGCATCCTCGCCCCTAATGTGAGTTCATGATCACTAGGCCTCAAAGCAGCAGTCTCATGTCTGTCAACTAGACATGCCACAGCACCTAATTTTCGTAACCATCCCATCTTTACTTTCCTTTCGCCACCAGCCAAATCCCTTGCCTCATCACTTACTCTACTCAGCAGTCGCTGAACCCAAGGAGATGATGACCCAGAAGATCTCTGGAACTCATCAAAACTAACAGATCGATTTGAACCCATTTCTTGTAGTCCACCAAGCATCTCATCTTGATTTTTGTCGCCCAAAATGAACTTCAGTCTGTTATCTGAAGTCTTAAATCCACTTGCAAATCCATCCTCCAAAGTATCGGGAGCACCATTTTCTAATGATCCTGGTGCTTCCAATACCTCTGAAGAAATGGAAGACTGATTGAAGTAAATCTTATCTTCAAAAGCAGATGTCCTCAACACTGCCCCACTCTTTTCTGTTATTCGATTATCCAGTTGAATGTCATCACATGATTCATCCCCTGAATCCTCCGCATTGATCAGATGTCGATCTAAACTCAAACCCGTTAATTCTAAAAACTTACTGCGACGCTCATTAACACTTTCTGGATATTTAGTCCAAAATTCATATTGTGAATAACCTGTCACACTATTGACCAGTTCAACGCCAGAAGAACTACAGCCCTCACAACAATCTGAAACACGATCAGACACAGCAGAGATCTCTTCATGGGTATCAAAGAATAGATCCTCTTCCTCTTCAATATAACCACCCCTCATTTTGTCAGTTGTCAAGTCTCAACCCATTAAACTCTGAATCAAGGAAAAATAAGAACTTTCTATTAAACCCTTGGTGAAGTCATAAACTTTCCCAGCAATAATAAACTATGATCCTTCTTACCCAAGAAAAACAACCCAAATTATAAAATCAACAACAACAAATCCATGGAACCAAATACAGATCTTGTAACAAAGTATAAAATCCCACAAAGGAGACTGAACAATTAAAAGAAACAACGTCTCTGACTATCTAAAACAGAAAATTAACAATCAAAGCATAAATTTTGATTAAAATATCAAGAGAAAGAAACACAAAGTAAATCATTCTAACAAACAAATCGAAACAAAAACTTCAGGAAAGAACAAGAGGTTTGTTTACCTGGGTCAATACAAAAGTCTAATCAAAACCCACAAAACCGCGTGATTTCATTACCACTTTTGCAATGAAGTTCAAGTTCCCCTTAGAAGAGGCAAAGAATAACTTAAAACTACAATTAGAAAACGAATAAAAATATGCAATATATAAATCGAAGAAAATACAAGACTAGAAACTAGAAAGGTCAAAAAACCCCGTTTTTGGGGTCAGTACGAAGAGAGCAGAAAAAGAGAGAGAAAGGGTACTTGAAAAAATCGAAGAAGGGCTGTTTTTGATCCTCAATTTGTCTTCCTTTTTCTCTCTCTCTCTCTCTCTCTAATTTAATTTCATCACTGTATGAGGCAAAGTCTTTTGTTTTGTCGATTTGGTATTTGGTCTAATCTGACTATCTGAGATATGACTCAAGATTTCTTACTTTTTAGTTAAACTGTTTCACCAATTTTACTTTAATTTAATGCCGTATGATCCGTTTGACCGACGCGACTCTCCACCACACATCCTTTTTGGGCTTACTGTTTCAACTTTCAAATACCCATTTAAAAATAATGGAGAGTTTTGAGAGAGAGGATCTCTTTATACTCAACTTCTTACCATTATTCTCACTGTCATTTTATTTATGAATTGCTGATATACTGCCATCCAAAATATCCAAAATCCTAATAATCCTTCTCGTTTAAGTTTGAGCAGGTTTTATGACGCTTGGAGTCCAAGTTACTCTCTCACAGCTCCACTAATTTGATAGTGATATTGAATATGTTTTTAATATTCTGACAGAATCCAAGACCGATGTTCTTACCATAAATGAGAATAAATTTATTTAAAGTGTTGAGAAGTTTCCATGTTTCGAACGGGTCAAACTTTGTGCGCCAAATATTTTCCCCCACTGGGGTAAAACTGCAGGACTAGTTCTCTTTGTCAAAGGTAAATTAGCTCTGTAGTTGAATTGTCCAGAATGACGCTCTACATGTATAAAATAACAAAACCGAATCAATTACCAAATTTATTTTCTTGTCCTTTGCAGCTTTTCAGAGACAATAACTCAATCTATAACGACCTTTGCTTTGTCCCCCACCAAATAAAAAATAAACAAATTTATCCAAATCTTTTACCTTCCAGATGTGTGCTTCGTAATTCTTCGTCCAGCCAGCACAGATCACTGAACAGTTGGTTGATATTTGGTGTGAATTTAAACGATCTGATATAACTTTATTAAATATCAGTTTTCTTTTTGAGTATTCGCATTTATCACAACCCAAGAATTTGATGAAGAAAAGAAATAGTCACATCATAAAGGGCATTCCTGAAATCACTCCTTGGGTTAGCAACCGACCAGCCATGTTTATATACTAAACATTTATGTTAAACTTGACTTTTGACATCAACAGTCTGAATGAAATATGATTTAGGAAGAGTTGTTGGTTCAAAATCTGATAGAAATCATATAATAATATTGGCGATTTCAAAGCAGTGGCCATGGATAGTGTGTGTGGCCATTTTTGTTTAAAGATTGAAGAGGAATTGAAAAATCAGAAATCGAGTGGATGATGATTAAAGCATTAAAGAAGTGGATGGCGTGGGACAGAATGCGCTGGATTTGTATGAATGAATAAGAATAATCTTTCTGACTTTGAAGCTGGGTGGACTGGTGAAAGTTTCAAATGCGAAACAAGATTGTGGGCCTGTGATGTGTCGTACGCATCAAAACAATGGGTTTTGTGGATCAGACGGCCTAGTTTTTACTAGTTGCATAACTACATTACAAATCACAAATCAAATGGTTTTGAGTATGATAGCTTCTACCTTCTTTCACCATGGAAAAGGCTGTAAGAATCTGCAAATTCCAGCCCAAAATAGGCCCAAGATGCCATTCATAAACCCATCAGGCCCATAACACCAACATGCAATCCAAACTCAAGGTTAAATATGGGCCCTCTACGTTCTTCTCATGCAAAAGTTATGCACGTATTTCAACTAATCTTCGAGGTACATTGAACACCATACAAACTCAATGGATCAAGTAAGTAACAAATGTGATAGGTAGCCAATTAGTAAAACTTAAACACAAAATCTATGGATAACCTAAGGTCTTGCCATCCAGCCACAAACCACGCAGTTATAGGATTGTAACATTTTCTCAACTCAATTACGTGAAAACATGTCATGTCTAGTACTATGTGGTGTAACTCGCCTTATCACATAACAATGTGTTATGTTTGTTACTATATGGTTCAACTCACCCCTATTTGATTTAGGGAGCCTACGTAATGGACAAGAACTTAGGATTGTTCCAATATCATTTGTTACGAGTCGGACTTTTATCAACTATCCAGAAAACTAATCTATTAAGTGATATATTTTGTCTTCCCACTCTTATAAGTCCAATATCGAACCCATGTTTATCTTACGTGGGATCATAACACTGACTTCTTCGATCCAATAATCAAATAATCCCATGACAGCAAGAGTTTGTAGGAAGATGTGTGACAAGAGCTTAATGGAGGATCAAAGGCTACATGCACATATAATTATTTCCATGGAAATGTTTCCACCAATTGACCAACACTAAAATTTTGTAATAATGATTAAAACAATACATAGTAATCCATAATTAATGAAGAAGGCTATTAATATAGGCTTTAATTGTGGTCCTAATTCTCCAAATTTGGTAAAGATTATGGGCTTCAATTATCGTCCATCCAATCGGGCACCAACCATTGTCCCTGTGACCAATGGATGCAATTTGATTTGACCCCAATTTTACAAAATTCTATCGACTGTTGGGATGTTCACATCATTTCCATTCCTTAATCTAATCTTACAATTAAGGATTAATATCTAATTAATGAGAAACCAAACTAAAACTTATCTTTAATAGCTTTTCAACAACTACAAGGACTTCAATTTTATATAATAATGTTTTCAATCTTAGTCAACAATTACTTCCAAAAAACACAAAGATTCTTCTGCTTAGACATTAGGCGCTGCCTGCCTGGGGAATAATATTTTAATTGCTTCTCATTTCTGATTATTCCTTCCTTAAGGCGCCGGCCTTGCCTACTGACTGCTGCACCAATAATACCGCTTTTTAAAGCCGCGTTTGGCTCACTACTATTATTTTTATTTTTTTAATAAGCATAAGTGTTTAGGTCAGTTTATGCACACTTTAATTAATCATTCGAGATCCTGAAACTATCAATTAGGTAAAAGTTCTAATGATTACCTTTATTAGGAATAATACTACACTAACAACTTTTTCTTACAAATTTTCTCTCACAACCCTAACATGTCAGCTCGCAATTAGTTAGTTTACAACAGGTCCCACATGGGTCTCGCTAATTAATTACGAATTAACCAATTACGAGCTATCACGTTAGGGTTGTGAGAGAAAAGATTGTTGGTGTAGTATTACTCCTCCTATCAACACTCGAGGAAAGGCTTGAGCTCGGAACCTCTTGAGTAATATATTCAAAAGTCCTTATCAAACTACTCGACCACATGTAGTTACTCACTACTATTATTGTAATTTGCATTTTTTTAGTCAGGTTTTTATGGAAGTTAAAAAACATTTTGGTCTCTCAAGTTTACGCTAAATACATTAGGTCTAAATTTAGAGTTAACGACTTTTTCCCATCTAAATAATGGTTTAATGACATTTTCCCACCCAAAAAAATATAGTTATTGATTTGGCAATGACCAGAAAGCAAATTCGGTCCATTCTTTTGGGGTTTTTGAAGAGGAAAGTCGGTGAGTCTTTTGGTGGTGAAATATTGGATTTTGGTGATCGTGATTGATCAAAATTTAACTTGAGAGGGACGACTGCGTAAACCTTAATCACTCGATTATAGCAATTGATAGGATCGACGAAAGTAAGGTTTAAGGGGTATTGATGGGTGATGATCGAAGAAGCGAATGGTAATAGTGTGAGGCCACAACAATGCTAGAATTGGCCAGTGATTGGTGGGGTCAGTGGAAAAATATCCTTAAATGTATTTTTTTTTTGTGAAAATGTGTCATTAAATCATTATTTGGAAGGGAAAATGTTGTTTACTCTAAATTTTAAGCAAAATGATCAGTTGACAACTATTATTTATTTTTATAATTCTATAAAATTCTTAATGTTATTATGTAAGGACCTAAATGTACTGGAATTGAAGATCAAATAAATTAAAATGAACAATCAACATCCCTTGATGGCCCACGTCACTCGTAGTACTAAAACAAATGTATTTAAAATTATACTTTAGCTCCTGTCAATTGACCCTTGGTGGACATCTAACTCATCAGAGATTTAGTGGGTCCCTTTTAAATCTGCCTCGCCAAGAAATCAGACTGAAGCAACGGTTGTAATAACCTAATCACTTGACATTGATTTTATTTATTAATTAATTTAATTAAAACTTTTGACCTATAAATGGAAATACAAATTTTAAATGAATATGAACACGACCAAGTCATCAAAATAAAAATAAAATTATAATATATGAAGCTGACGTGGAATCCACTAGCACATGCGGTCCACCTCATGAGGAAGCTCATCACGTGATATCATACACAAGTAAGGTTGGTAAATTTAAGATCAGACGGTTGTGATTAGATTCCTTACTTGGTTGGGTAGGAATTGAATTGATTTGGCATGCGCATGAAAAATGAAAAGGGGGGTCCCACGAGACCACCAGCTGCAGCAGCACCGCCCACTTCACACGCTGCCATTGCTTTTTCGAAGACTTCAATTCCATGTCTGTACTGTATACCCTCTGTGGGGACACGTTTCGTTAACACAGAAAATTTAGGTGGGCTCCACCATCCCCCCCCCCCCCACAAAACATATGACGGCTTCCATTCGCCGTCATTCTCCACTACTATAGACGCTACCGTACTACAGTACTCCACGACTTAACTCAGTTGAGTATGTATTGTAGAAGTGCTTTCGAGAAAAGCGCTGCTTCTTCCAGATTCTAAACAGAAGTCAGAGCCATGCATGCATGCATGGATGATGGGATGATGTTAGTGGAGTTTGATGATGTTTTGATTTAGCCAATGTGAAGAATCCACGTGTGCATGTCAAAATGGAAGTGGATTAGTGAAGGTGGGGGGGGAGTATGATTAGATAAGGTGAAGCCGAAGCAGCGAGGAAAAAAAAAAAAATGATAGCAGTTTGTTCAAAAAGAAAGCCCACGTGGGCCTACGTTTTGATGAGTGGAGGACCCATTTAATCAATCAAAGCCATAATTACAAGATGGGATTGAGCCAATCACCACCGTTTAATCATTCAGCTAGAAGATGTGACTGCAGAAATCTTGGCACCACAGAACAGACCATTCGAATCTTAAGTGACAAGTGAAATAAACTACTATGCATGTGAACGGTTAGTTTAAGGCTCCGTTTGGGTTCTTTAAACCAAGACCCGATTTTGATAAGGTCAAAGTGTTTGATATATTTCCCAAATGAGCCAGACCAGCTATGATGAAAAGGAATGGAGTAATTCTATTAATAAAGATGAATTAATTAAGTTATTGTCAAGTCGTTTTTTTTTGAAGGCTATACAATACCGGTTGCTGGTGCAGTCAAGTCATTTTCCATGTATTAATTAGTGTTTTAATTTTTAGGGTTAAGTTAAAACTCATATATAGCCTTTGCTAATACGGGCTGTAGTAATAATAAGTGCTTCCTCCTTTACATGTTTCATGCATAAAAGCACTTCCACAAATAATAAGCTTGGACTTGTTGGCTTTTACCTAGGGGTGTTCGGTTCTAGGTACCGTACACTTTTTGAATGAACCGGAACCGATGGTTCTCTGAAATTTGGAATCAGAACTGGAACCGACGGTTCCGGTTCCTAGATACCCAGAATCAGAACCTATAACAACGGTTCCGGTTTCAGTTCTGGGTATCTTGTAAAATCACATGACCCCCCAAAAGTTTTTAAAATGGCAAAAAAACCCTTAAAAACTTACAAATACCCCCCCACCTGGCACTTATTAACCAAAAAAAAAATTACAAATTATAAATTCAAAATTACAAACTTCATTACTTTGTAAAGGTAGATTCTCAAAAGTCAAACCAACTTACTTTAAATGTTATGAAATATAAATATAAATGTATTCACATTACTTTTTCTACAAAAGTTTTTATTAACCCCCCTAATCTTTAATTTTATTTTATATTAGTCTCAGTTCCTAGTTCCTGGTTCCGGTTTTGGTTCCTAACTATAGGAATCGGAACCGGAATTGCACAGTAACGGTTCCAAAAATTTGGAACCGGAACCTACCCATTGATGACTGGTTCTGGGTAGGAACCGGAACCAAACCCAGGATATCCATCGGTTCTGATTCTAACCGATTTTTTTGAACACCCCTACTTTTACCTGTTCATATCACTCAAGAGAAACGAGTCAATTGCCACCACCAAGGGATAATTGATACCTACATTACACAAACCCACCAAGGAAGTTTCAAATTATTCTTAAATTCGGTTCGTAGAAAGAGGGTGTGCACGCTGACAATTAACCTAAATGTCAAACCATTAATAATGTGAGACTCAATGTTGGGTCATTATAATCCAAAACTCTTTTTCACAATCGACATTCATTACGGCTCATTCTTTCAAATATAACTTATCTTTAAAATCTGACTCATAAGAAAATGTATCTACTAAATTACCAAGTTATTTATGTTTCCATCTAATTTCAAAACGATAATTACCCGTCAACTATTTTTCCACTTATTGTTAAGATCAGTTAATGAAATCTGTTAATTCACGTTGATAATCATTGTAAAGACAAAAATATCCTTTACTCTCTGAATTCAACCCCGATTAATTATACATAGAACTTAATCTTTACTCTTTGAATCCAACCCCCATTAATTATACATGGAATTTAGTTTGAGAAGTAATTCAATTTGTAAGTAGATGACATATATTCTCAAAGAGAATAAAATGGCATATTACCTTATAATATTTTAATTATGAAGACAAAACCACTCAGCACTCTTTCTCTCTCTTTTTCGCTCTCAAATACACATACGCAGGACATAAACTTTCATAAAGCAAAGGTGAGAGAGATATACATAGAACGTCCACACACTAAAATCCATTTCACACATTCCTTTTCCTACTTTATTAACCAGTTTCAAGTTAAAGCCCTGATTTTTTTTTTTTTCTCTTGGAGATACCATTTCTTCTTCCTTCTTCTTCAGTTTCATCATGGATACTGCTCAGTGGCCACAGGTAGAGAAATCTAGCTATCACTTGCTGTGTTCATCAAGCTGTTTGCTTTTTCATAATCAGAAAAGTTTAATTGCGTATGGGGTTCTTTTCTTTTTTTTTTTAAAACTAATAAAGGATGATGGTGTGTTCATGGCTAGTGCAAGTCCCCACTCAATTGGATTTAGTTTTTATCAGTTCTCTTTTGCCTATGTGATAAAAGAAAAGGAGTTCTTTTTTTTTTCTCCTTTTATGTTGGGATGATATGAACTTGAAACGTGTAAAGCAGCTGCCCTTGTTTGGTTTTGTTTGTCTGTTATCATCTTTTTAATCTTCAGTGTTTATATTTTTATTTTCAGTGCTGATCTTCTTGTTTGATCTTCAAGTTATTGTTTCTTTATTCAGTTCTATCTCTTCTTTTCGTAATATTGTTTTTTCGCTTTTCCAGGAGATTGTGGTGAAACCAATAGAAGAGATAGTCACAAATACATGCCCAAAGCCAGCTCCTTTAGATAGGAAGACAAGGCCTCAAAAAGAAGCACCGCCTTTGAATTGTCCAAGGTGCAATTCTGCGAACACCAAGTTCTGTTACTATAACAACTACAGTCTCACACAGCCAAGGTATTTCTGCAAGACTTGTAGAAGATACTGGACTGAAGGTGGGTCTCTTAGAAATATTCCTGTTGGTGGTGGTTCAAGGAAGAACAAGAGATCATCATCTACGTCTTCCTCATCTTCATCTTCTTCTTCGTCTAAGAAGCTTCCTGATCTTGTTACACCACCAAGATTGTCCCAGTCTTCTACTCAAAACCCTAAGATCAATGAAGGACAAGATCTCAACTTAGCTTTCCCAGCTACTCAAGGTTTCAGAAGCATCTCTGAATTCGTTCAAGTTCCAAATATTGACAACAATAACAACAACAACAATAAGATCCAAATTCCTTCTTCTTCATCAACTACACCTCACCTTTCAGCTCTGGAGCTGCTCACTGGATTCTCTTCAAGAGGGTTGAATTCTTTCATGCCGGTCCAGGTTCCAGATCCAAGCGCTGTTTATACACCTGGGTTTGCTATGCAAGATTTTAAACCAACCCTAAATTTCTCTTTAGATGGACTTGGAGTAAATGGGTATGAGAGTCTCCCTGGTGTTCAACAGACTAGCACTGGAAGGCTGCTGTTTCCATTTGAAGATTTGAAACAAGTTTCTAGTTCAACTGATATTGAACAGAATAGGGAGCAAGGAGATTCTTCTGGCTATTGGACTGGAATGTTAGGGGGAGGATCATGGTAAAGAATATATGATGAAAAATAATTTGGGTCTTTTTCTTTTTCTTTTTCTTCTTTATTTTTTTTTTTTCTTTTGGGTTTATTTAACTTATATTAATTTGTTAAGGTGGGTGACTTGTTTGGATTTCTTCATTACTAACAGATAGGGTACATTACATGAGTTTCTTTCTCTCTTACTTTGCCTCTTTTTTTCTCCTTTAATCATCTTATTTACTCTTTGGTAATGGTGGGAATTTGAAGCTTAATTTTTGATTGGCTTCAGAATGGGTGGTGACAAGAGATACTGATCATCAGAAATGCTAGAAGATGATATCAAGCTTGTTATATAAATTAGCCCATATTCTTTTAGGGTAAATTACAAGTAGAAGAGGGCTTGCTTCATGCCCCTTTATTTCATGTATCCACAGAAAGAGAGAGGAAGGGCAAACCAGTGTTCTATGTGTCATTGTTGGCTTGGTACAAATTATAATTAAATGTATAATGTGCAAGTTTGTAAGGAGTTTTACGGGTGAAAAATGCTTTGTTTTAGTAAAATACTCACCAAAAATCTCAATAGGGTTCCAATAGTGGCATGAATTCTCTCCATTCCCTTCTTGGAAACAGGTTATGAGATCATTTTAAGGTCTCACAGAAGCACAGAGATTGATTCTTGAAGAAGATATTAATATATAAAGAAGCAAATTAAAGGTGGAGAACGAAGAAGAGCCAGGTAAGAAATCTGATACCTCCACATGACATTGTCATAAAGCAAGTGATAAAGTTAGAGTTTGTGTTTTAAACTCTTGAACCATTAAACCTACCTCAACCAAAAAGCTCACCTACTGGTTTCTAAATGAGAACAGTTTTGAAGAGTCTCTCTCTCTCTCTCTCTTTCTCACTCTCACAACAAGTCACAATGCTTCTTCAATTCATTTTCCACCACCCCCCATTGAGTGATGATTACTTCTATTCCATGCCCACCTCTTTCCTTTTTTCTAATTAAAAGATTGAGGTACATCTGACAAACCCTTGTTTTCTTTAGTCTTAAAATAGGGACCCCACAAACATTCCCCTCGGCAAGTGTGCTCAAGAATAATACAACCCACTAACTTGATCAATCCAGATCTAGAACCTTTTATTATTATTAATCTGTATAATATATTACTTCGTTTTTGTTCTTTGCTGTATGCCACTTAATCAACTGCCAATTTGCCTAAGTTTTAGATAGATAGATCCACAGACATATCATCTTCTCAATTATTAATTATATGTAATCATAAATGGGGTCTTTTGGTTTTGCCGTATTTAGACCTCACATCTCTCTCGATTGTTTTCACCATATGGGGCTGTGTTGGGAAACCTGAATGTCCAGTCGCCCGTTTAAAAAAACTTGGGTTCATCTTCCATTAGAAGATTAATTGTTCAACGTGGTCTGCTAGTTATAGAAAGGATAAATCAAAACGGAAGGAGGAAGATATGGCAAAAATACTTTTCATGGTTGTTGCCTGAATAGTTCATCTAAATTATGACTCTTATGAACCCACTTTGTGAGTTCTTTAACAGTGGCTGAGATTGAGAGTATCATACTTACACTTTTATATAGGAACAATGCTAGTCAAAGCCTACTTATTTTGCCTCAAATAAGCCCATATCTGGCATGGATATTCTAAAATCTATCCATAGATTAACCCCATTTGCCTTTTCAACCATGATTTTCTCTTGAGGTTTACTTAAAGATGTCTTCATTAAATTGTCAAATTTCAAAATTGCTTTTTCCATTGCCCTTATGGCTCCATAACTTGGACTTCATGAGGTTAAATTTATATACTAATGATTGAGGCTATGTTTTTCCACGTTTCAAGTAACGTGAAGTTGAAGACAAAAACACACATTATAGCCTTCATTCTCAAGTTACTCTCAATTTCCAGAGGCTCCATGGCACTTCAAATCACTAGGTAGGCTAATAGGAGGGAGCCAACCCGTTTTAGCTAAGCACTAGGCTGACTGAACGATCAAAATCATATAGGCAAAGCCTTGTTATTTACGGAACCCTGGAATCATTTCATTAGCCTATTCATAAACGACTTTTCTGCTTGCTACCTCTATCATTGTCCCATCTTCCTCGCAACAAACACATCCAGACCCGAAGATGGGAATTGCAGAACCGAAGATGGAAATTGCAAGATAAAGCTAGATCAATGCAAAATGTCATGAACGATCCAAGGTCCGTGAAAAAAAGCAGTGTAGATTCCAAATTTTTTTTTGGGGGGGGGAGGGGAGGATGGAAACTGAGCCAAGTTATGAGGGGAGGTATACGTATAAACTTGATAAATAAAAAATAATGTACCCTTTTCAGTGTCAACGTCTGTACAGGGGATATCACCATTTTAATTGGAATACAAAAATGATCAAAACCTAGTAACTAAATTGAAGAAACATGAAATTCTTTCTCAGCAGTTCAGTGATCAGCATTGATCCCAAATATACGGACCTTGTGCATGTTTGGAAACTTTGCAACTACCAGTACAAAGACGGCTAGGGTATTGAAGAAAAGCATCGGATTCTGATAGTCTGTTGTGTGTGAAGCTATCAAATACCTGAAAGATGTGAAACAGAAGAAGATAAGTTTTAATGGAGGTAAAAGAAAACTTTTCCCAAGAAACAAAATACTTTCAATCAGTTTTCACTAATTTGGATAGCTAAAGTCAAATCAAATGCAAGATATTCATGCATTAGACTGTGATCAGCCACACAAGGAAAGAAAAAGTCTTGAAACACTTCAGTTAATCAAGGTATATGGAAAAAAAATATATAAAAAGCCATTTTTTTTTTTTGGAAGAATTACTCCACTGTCTCGAGAAGGGAGAAAAAAGAAGAAACTCATGCTTAGAAAGCAAAGAACAGCCCTACGATAAAGATATATCAGCTTTTCTAATTACTGATGACATTGACATATCATTCTTTTTCTTTGAAACAGAAAAGAAAAGCCTTGTGGGAGAAGACTTTGTTTAATACAGACTAGCACTGGAAGGCTGCTGTTTCCATTTGAAGATTTGAAACAAGTTTCTAGTTCAACTGATATTGAGCAGAATAGGGAGCAAGGAGATTCTTCTGGCTATTGGACTGGAATGTTAGGGGGAGGATCATGGTAAAGAATATATGATGAAAAATAATTTGGGTCTTTTTCTTTTTCTTTTTCTTCTTTATTTTTTTTTTTTCTTTTGGGTTTATTTAACTTATATTAATTTGTTAAGGTGGGTGACTTGTTTGGATTTCTTCATTACTAACAGATAGGGTACATTACATGAGTTTCTTTCTCTCTTACTTTGCCTCTTTTTTTCTCCTTTAATCATCTTATTTACTCTTTGGTAATGGTGGGAATTTGAAGCTTAATTTTTGATTGGCTTCAGAATGGGTGGTGACAAGAGATACTGATCATCAGAAATGCTAGAAGATGATATCAAGCTTGTTATATAAATTAGCCCAGATTCTTTTAGGGTAAATTACAAGTAGAAGAGGGCTTGCTTCATGCCCCTTTATTTCATGTATCCACAGAAAGAGAGAGGAAGGGCAACCCAGTGTTCTATGTGTCATTGTTGGCTTGGTACAAATTATAATTAAATGTATAATGTGCAAGTTTGTAAGGAGTTTTACGGGTGAAAAATGCTTTGTTTTAGTAAAATACTCACCAAAAATCTCAATAGGGTTCCAATGGTAGCATGAATTCTCTCCATTCCCTTCTTGTAAACAGGTTATGAGATCATTTTAAGGTCTCACAGAAGCACAGAGATTGATTCTTGAAGAAGATATTAATATATAAAGAAGCAAATTAAAGGTGGAGAACGAAGAGAGCCAGGTAAGAAATCTGATACCTCCACATGACATTGTCATAAAGCAAGTGATAAAGTTAGAGTTTGTGTCTTAAACTCTTGAACCATTAAACCTACCTCAACCAAAAAGCTCACCTACTGGTTTCTAAATGAGAACAGTTTTGAAGAGTCTCTCTCTCTCTCTCTCTTTCTCACTCTCACAACAAGTCACAATGCTTCTTCAATTCATTTTCCACCACCCCCCATTGAGTGATGATTACTTCCATTCCATGCCCACCTCTTTCCTTTTTTCTAATTAAAAGATTGAGGTACATCTGACAAACCCTTGTTTTCTTTACTCTTAAAATAGGGACCCCACAAACATTCCCCTCGGCAAGTGTGCTCAAGAATAATACAACCCACTAACTTGATCAATCCAGATCTAGAACCTTTTATTATTATTAATCTGTATAATATATTACTTCGTTTTTGTTCTTTGCTGTATGCCACTTAATCAACTGCCAATTTGCCTAAGTTTTAGATAGATAGATCCACAGACATATCATCTTCTCAATTATTAATTATATGTAATCATAAATGGGGTCTTTTGGTTTTGCCATATTTAGACCTCACATCTCTCTCGATTGTTTTCACCATATGGGGCTGTGTTGGGAAACCTGAATGTCCAGTCGCCCGTTTAAAAAAACTTGGGTTCATCTTCCATTAGAAGATTAATTGTTCAACGTGGTCTGCTAGTTATAGAAAGGATAAATCAAAACGGAAGGAGGAAGATATGGCAAAAACACTTTTCATGGTTGTTGCCTGAATAGTTCATCTAAATTATGACTCTTATGAACCCACTTTGTGAGTTCTTTAACAGTGGCTGAGATTGAGAGTATCATACTTTCACTTTTATATAGGAACAATGCTAGTCAAAACCTACTTATTTTGCCTCAAATAAGCCCATATCTGGCATGGATATTCTAAAATCTATCCATAGATTAACCCCATTTGCCTTTTCAACCATGATTTTCTCTTTAGGTTTACTTAAAGATGTCTTCATTAAATTGTCAAATTTCAAAATTGCTTTTTCCATTGCCCTCATGACTCCATAACTTGGACTTGATGAGGTTAAATTTATATACTAATGATTGAGGCTATGTTTTTCCACGTTTCAAGTAACGTGAAGTTGAAGACAAAAGCACACATTATAGCCTTCATTCTCAAGTTACTCTCAATTTCCAGAGGCTCCATGGCACTTCAAATCACTAGGTAGGCTAATAGGAGGGAGCCAACCCGTTTTAGCTAAGCACCAGGCTGACTGAACGATCAAAATCATATAGGCAAAGCCTTGTTATTTACGGAACCCTGGAATCATTTCATTAGCCTATTCATAAACGACTTTTCTGCTTGCTACCTCTATCATTGTCCCATCTTCCTCGCAACAAACACATCCAGACCCGAAGATGGGAATTGCAGAACCGAAGATGGAAATTGCAAGATAAAGCTAGATCAATGCAAAATGTCATGAACGATCCAAGGTCCGTGAAAAAAAGCAGTGTAGATTCCAAATTTTTTTTTGGGGGGGGGAGGGGAGGATGGAAACTGAGCCAAGTTATGAGGGGAGGTATACGTATAAACTTGATAAATAAAAAATAATGTACCCTATTCAGTATCAATGTCTGTACAGGGGATATCACCATTTTAATTGGAATACAAAAATGAATCAAAACCTAGTAACTAAATTGAAGAAACATGAAATTCTTTCTCAGCAGTTCAGTGATCAGCATTGATCCCAAATATACGGACCTTGTGCATGTTTGGAAACTTTGCAACCACCAGTACAAAGACGGCTAGGGTATTGAAGAAAAGCATCGGATTCTGATAGTCTGTTGTGTGTGAAGCTATCAAATACCTGAAAGATGTGAAACAGAAGAAGATAAGTTTTAATGGAGGTAAAAGAAAACTTTTCCCAAGAAACAAAATACTTTCAATCAGTTTTCACTAATTTGGATAGCTAAAGTCAAATCAAATGCAAGATATTCATGCATTAGACTGTGATCAGCCACACAAGGAAAGAAAAAGTCTTGAAACACTTCAGTTAATCAAGGTATATGGAAAAAAAATATATAAAAAGCCATTTTTTTTTTTTGGAAGAATTACTCCACTGTCTCGAGAAGGGAGAAAAAAGAAGAAACTCATGCTTAGAAAGCAAAGAACAGCCCTACGATAAAGATATATCAGCTTTTCTAATTACTGATGACATTGACATATCATTCTTTTTCTTTGAAACAGAAAAGAAAAGCCTTGTGGGAGAAGACTTTGTTTAATTAGAGATTTAAGTCAAAACGATAGTGATACAAGGAATAATGACATTGAGATCTACAACTCATCAACCAAAAATCTAGAAACAGAGTTCAAATTCAATTCAACCACGCAAACCTCATTCTCCCCTTATGCCAAAAGTAACCTCCAATACCATTGGGATAAGTTTAACTGTTCCAATAATAAACAAGTCAAACTTGAAGGGCTGATGGAGGTTGGGAATAAAAATGCATGGCATGCCCTTCGGAGATCAGTGTAATTATCAGTGAGCTACAGTTTAGTGTGCAAGTCGGTAATATTCACAGAGATGCTTTTCCCAAATTCAGACGATAACCTCACTTCAACAAATAAAACTAAACAAATAATATGCACCTAAAGTTAAAATCATAAGCCTAAGTTTAAACATGTTATCCAATCATCTAGCAAAGATGTAAACTACCCTACAGTTTTCTGGTTCTAATTGTATATTTATTTTTAAAAAATGGCAATCCAATTACTAGACAATTTGAACAGAAAGTTCTGTTTCATGTTCTATATTGTTTGGGTATTGAAACAAAAGACCCACATAGTGAGAGCAAATTACTTACAGCACAACAGGTACAACAGTCAAAAACTTTCTGTTGCGAGTGAGTTGCTTGCCATTGTCTATCTGCTCCCACCATGTCAACCCATTGTAAATGCCCTGGTCATCAGCAAATGGTGTTCCTTTCTTCCAATGGAAAAAGTGATAAGTAACCTGAAGTAAGACGCAAAGACATTCACAATTATACAATGTCATGTATTTGGGGAAGAAAGGCTGTAAAAGAGCAAGAGACACTGCAATCACAAATTTGCTATCAATACTTTTAAGCGGACAAACAATTTCCACCCAACAAACGATTCTCTCACTCAAAATATAAGGTTCATCTTTTACTCCAAAACACACAAAACAGCTTTCGCATCCAACCAGCATAAACTAAAAGAACATGAGCTTCAAGATATAACTCAAGTCTGAGCTAACACAAGGTCTAATGAGAACCATGCAGAATATTGTTATATTAATTGATCTAGATGAATTCCCAATGGAAAATGTATAAAGAAATTCAAGCCATAACCAAAAGAAACATGGTCAAATGAACAGGCCAAAAAAAAAAAAAAAGACTAGAGGATAGAAATTTATACGATGTGAAAATCCTCAATGGGATGGGCATCTCGCATCATCCATACATCAATCTAATAAAATTTCTTTGTTTTAAAGCTAACCAATTATTTTGGTTATTGGGAAGAGGAAATAAATATATAGGGTGCGGTGGGATGCTATTGGACATACAAATAGTACATCTTTCCTACCCAAGACTTTCTCTCATACAGTTCAATATAACTAAATGATAGATATTATTGTACTGGATAATGCATTATTGGACTTACCTGCATCAATTATGGATGCAAGAAAAAACGGAAAAATATATAATTCAAGGAACACAGGGCAAAAAGAGATAGTAGCCAAATTGAATGTTGTTTCTTGTGATTCCACATTTGAGATGTTCATGTATTTAGGTACAATCACCTTTCTACTCAAACATAGCTATTGATTGTTACCAAACACCATATTCAAATTCGGTTCCCAATCAAGAAATAACTGGATGAGAACAACTAACAGAAAGCTAAAGTGCCATCCTCCAATTCTAAAGTAGCCCAAAATTTTGTCTAACAGCTATAATAAAACAGAGAAGAAACATAACTATAACAAAGAAAAACGTGGTTTAATGATATCTAAAAGGCCTACAAGTAACAAGAAAATGGTGATAATTCATTCAGAGTCTTCCACAAATCAATGAACACACGTAATTTTACTAGAGATTGAAGTCCTAAGCTAACCAGCAAAATTTGTTACATTTGATGGTCCAATAAAACTTCCACAAATATCTTAAACAAATGAACTAGATATTCCTCCCTGTTACAAATATCTTTTTCACAAATATATGATCGCGTACAAACTTAATCATTAGAAACATATTCATCTTAACACATACAAATTTCACAATAATGGCTTAATAATTCATCTACACACAAGCACCAAAGACAACAAGATGTGGGTCTGGGTAGTTTCCTCCTCTCTTAAAGAGTGATCACAAGGGTCAATCCCTTTCACCGTTTTAAGATAATCTAAATCTTACCAAAAAAAAAATAGCAGCAGAGCAATCTCTAATCCAGAACGTCACCTTCCTACTTCTAAATCAATACAAGTCAAAAGAAAAGATTTTGACAATTATATTAACAGAAAAAACGGATTTTTCGTGTATATATGAAGGAAAGAAACAGATCGAGAATAAAAAAAAGGGAATCAAATGAAAAAGAAAAAAGAATCTTACAAGAAAATGAGAGAGGTGAACGATGGTCCAAGCCATGCCAGGGGTACAATGAAAGAGAGAAAGAACAATGAGCCATGAGAAGAATAGAATCAAAATGTAAGTGCTCCAGACTCCTGGGTACGTGAACCACTCCGTGTTCCTATTCAGATCCGTCGTTGGCACTGCTCTCACGTACATTTCTCGATTCCACTTCTGCTTCTGCCTTCCCAGAGGAGACTTAATATATAAAGCTTCTTCTCAAATCCGACTTTTTCTTTTTCTTTTTTATTCTTTGTCGTAGCTAGTTGGTTGCCTTGCCTTGTGAACTCTGCAGATACCAGAAAACACACACACACACACACACACACACACACACACACACACACACACATATATATATATATATATATATATAGAGAGAGAAAGATGGATGAGCTGGCTGATTAAGTAGAGATAATTGGTTACTATTATTATAATTAAGATTAGTTATATGTTAACTACTTTTAATTACTGTCTTACCCCCATTATTTAAGCTAAGGTATCATTTCCTAAGTAATCCTAACTAATAAAATTAGGGGTAATGAGGACATTTCGACGTTTCACAATGGAGATATTTTATGAACACCATTAGGGAGAGTATTTTTTTTTATTTATTTATTTATTTATTTTAATCGGATGGTCCGACCGTTTACACATACCTCAACTAATTTTCGAGATCTATTGAACATCTTACAAATCTAATGGATCAGATAAGTTACAAATGTGATAGACGTCCACTTTGTAGGACTTATCTGGCCCATCAGGCTTGTAGGATGTTCAATATATCCTGAAGATTAGTTGAGGTACGCACAAACTGTCCGAACACCCTAATTAAACAAATAAATTACTCCCCTTAGGGGTGTTCATTACATAAAACTAGTTTTGAAGTATTATTATATATATTCTGAAATTTATCAAAATAATTTTGGGGATTTAATTGAATGTTAATTTATTTAATGAATATAAAAAGTGTGGGTATAATTGTTCTTGCTCAAGGGCTATTGTTAGCATATTCTCGATCAAAAATGGTGATTGATTCTTGTTCTGAATCATATTTGGAAGCATTATCTGTTCAATTTCTTGGACACTCCATTAAAATGGAAAAATCAAATAGAACTTTCAGGAATATAGACGATGGAATTTAATTTTACAACATGAATACAATAATAATAATACCTCAAAGGCTAAGGGTGGCATTGCCTACTCTATCCAACCCTCCTTCCAGCAATCTTCTCTTTGCTGACTTAGTTCTGTAACACCACACTTCAAAGGCCTCGCTCAAGTCTGGATACTTTACCTGCTCGGTTTTCAACCAGTCTGTTAGTATTTCAGCTTGATCATTTGATGGTAACGCCAGTACTAGCTGGACGATTGCTTCCTCTATGTTCCCACAGAGGTCTTCGTCCATCTTGTGAGGAAAATCTACCTCCTTGCTACTCTTCACTTCCAGAAGAGGCTTCATTTTTCTTATATAAGGTAGCCATGTCTTTAGCAATCTTACACGGGATGGCGCCGGGAGTATCACAGTTCCATAACCAACTGCATCCAAGACTTTTCCTGTCAATTCTATTACCTTTATTTTCAATGCCCACATGGAAGAATCAAGTTTCTTATCTTCAATAACCGCCAATATCTTATCAGAGATTTCAGTCCAATTTAAAACGAATTCGTTCATCAAATTCATCTTCAGAAGTATGTTAGACATCCATTCAATATCTGATAGACACAGCATTATTTTATCCTCTGCTGTCTCAGATGTGAGATCAGACTCCAAAAGCAAGGAAGACAATTCCTTTTCAAATGAAGAACAAACCTTGGAAAGACCCATTTTCACTACTGATTTTACTTCATCATCAGCAGTAACCAGTGGGGTGTCAGCATCTTCTGCTAGCATGTATTCAACTTGTTCTTGAGCAGATGTTTTAAGATTGGCATCAAATGGTGGACATGATCCACCAATGTTAGTGGCAAAGCGAACAGCGGAAACAAAAACATTCTTTGTAGCCTTTAGATCTACAGGTTGGATCCTGGCTAATATAGGCATGGCTATTGGTCCCAGCTTTGAAACTGTTTTTAGAATTTCTTCCTCTTCCTTGTCCTCCCAAGGAATGGCCTCCAGATACTGGACACAGCCCTTTGTGATCTCTTCACAACCGAAATCAATGGCTAGCTGAAGAATACCAATAGCAGATTTGACAGTGTCCAAAGAATCCAAAAGTGAGTCAACGGGGAGATACAGCAATCTTAAAAGTTTGACATGATAATCATAATTGAACTTTGAGCAGTGAATCTGAATGCATTTGCCAGAGTCCAGACAGGAGAGCTTATCAGCAAAGTATTTGCTCTTACTTATAAGAACGGTTGAGTGAGAGTAGAAACTTTCAGGTCTTCCTTCATTATTTCTCAATTGTACAATGATATCACTAGTACTCTGGTCACCAAGTTTACAGGGTTTGACCACTCCAATAATGTCCATACGAGGAGAATGGAAAGAAAAAATTCATGCTTTATGCAACTCAGAGAACAGAAGTCCAATTTGAGGTGTACCTGAAAAGAATGAGAACCAAATTTATCATTTATCAAATGTTTGTAGAGTATGAATGGAGAAAATGTGAAACAAAACACTCAAGCCACTCCCACAACCATATCTTCAAGGAAGATATAATAAACAATAGAAATTAGTTTGTAACATCTTCCTCAATAATGCATAATTCCCAATGGTTGATAAGATATAAAGATCAACTGTAAGCCATCTCAAGTTTGTTCACACTGCATTGAACGCCATTCAGAATAGATAACAACTTCACCACATCAACACATTAAATTCATTCAATTTAAAATGTAACCAATGGAAATAAGAATATCTTCAATTCCTCTAAGTGGGTCACGTATTGGTATGCCTTCATCCAATTATGCTGCTAAGTTTAATCATCTCCCATCCGCAAAGGCAGAGATATGACATTTGTAAGTTCTGAGGCATTACTCAATAAAAAAATTTACACACTTGCAGAGGAAAACCAATGGTTCACGAATCCAATCATCTTTCACAACAAATTAAAATGAAATAGGAAGACATTTTAGAGTTACTAAATTATCTTTAAAATCTTTGTTCTGTTTTCCCCCTGTAAATTTCATGACAAAACACTTCAACTTAGGTCCTAATAAATCTAATTCCTGGAGAAAAAGTAATTACTCTAAGTCATCTTGTTTTGATATTCCCTAAAATGTTTTTAGCGGAATTCTACTTTCACGAAGGCAAAGAACATAGCAACTCTCTTGCAGGTTCTCATTTATACCTCAATTTAAACAAACCAACACTCATATCTACACATCTTAAGCTAATTTTTCATTCATTTGCTCAAACATAAACTGAACAGAAGAGTTTCTTGATTGATAAATCTCAAGTGACAATTATATTGTATAAAGAAATGCCCATCCAAATAAGAAGCTAGAAAGGACAAACTGGAATCAGATTAAATGGGAATTCGGATTCAACAGTTGATAATTAACAAAATTCCCACAAATCCAATAATCTGAGCTGAGAATAACAACAATTATGAAAGACTCACCTTTAAAACAGAACAGACTTGAATCTAACCGTAGAGAAGAAAAGAGCCGGTCACACGCTGATGTTAAAATGTGAAGCCGAAGCCAGCCAGCCCTTCACTAGGATTTGGATAGTCCTTTCGAGTTCACTTCCAGGTTGTGAGAAGTGACAGACAGACGTTTCAGAATCTAATTGTGTAATTACATTATTAACCTCCAGCTTCTAGTTGAATAATAAAGGCTATTATTGGATTTCAATTATTTGTATACCCACTTGACAAGTTGCAATTAAAAAATCGACCCACTTGCACAAGTTGCTCTTACTAGTAATTATCCAAGCACTAAATTCCATATGGTATAGTTTATTTCAAGCCCAGCCCATTTGATATCTTTACTAGGCCCGTGAGTTAATGGGTCGGATCGAAGCCCATTGTAAAATTCGTGGGCCACAAGTACAGACATTCTTAAAAAAAATCAGAGTGATTACGTCTAGTTACCATCATCATACCAGACACAGTCATCATAGCACCAAACATAATGAATGACGTGGCAGAAGGACAGGAACAGGGACCACATCGTTTCTGGGGTCCCCACAACAGTGAGCCCCTCACCAGTGGAAAAGCATCTGAACCGTCCGGCTATTTGCCCCCTTCATCACCGACAATTGGCCCTCAAAATAACCGCCGTCTGATTGACCCGTCAATCAAAATCGAACTTCAACATCGATCCACGTGTCATTTCTGAAAGAAAGAAAGAACGATTCTTGAATCTCGTGCTCCAAGTAAAAAACTTAATTAATGGTCCACAGATTACTTGGCTGATTTGTACCGCAACACAGAGAACGTAATCCTCTACACCAGCACCCACGTACACCTTATAATCAAAATCAAATCGCAGGGTAAATTTTAAAGGATCATGGACTAAGATTAAAATTAAAATAGGAGTGAGTGTAGAGGATCAAAAAAAAAAAAAAAAAAAAAAAAGGATTGAACCGACAAGAGCTGTAACACAGAGTTTAGACATTCTCTGGTGTGAAAGTGTAGGGGTTTTGTTTTGTTCCGGAGGATGGGGGCCACGTGAGCATGGGGACCTACGATACAAAGTGTGGGCCTGAATGCAGAGTAGGAGACCACCCTCAATACAGCAATATTCATGATTGGTTCATTAGTGGCTGATAGCTGCTTTAAACTCTTTCACTTTTGCTAATAAATGCAGAGAGAGTTTAACTTGTCTACATCCTGTTACTGTGAGCTCTACCTCGACTCTTCTCATCTCTAGCCGATCGATCATGACCACCATCACCAGTATTTCCTCATTGATGTGCTCTTCGACAGTGTTCAATATGTTATTATATTTGCATGAAAGAAAGTTGAGATAAAAGTAAGAACTAATTAGNCCAAGTAAAAAACTTAATTAATGGTCCACAGATTACTTGGCTGATTTGTACCGCAACACAGAGAACGTAATCCTCTACACCAGCACCCACGTACACCTTATAATCAAAATCAAATCGCAGGGTAAATTTTAAAGGATCATGGACTAAGATTAAAATTAAAATAGGAGTGAATGTAGAGGATCAAAAAAAAAAAAAAAAAAAAAAAAGGATTGAACCGACAAGAGCTGTAACACAGAGGTTAGACATTCTCTGGTGTGAAAGTGTAGGGGTTTTGTTTTGTTCCGGAGGATGGGGGCCACGTGAGCATGGGGACCTACGATACAAAGTGTGGGCCTGAATGCAGAGTAGGAGACCACCATCAATACAGCAATATTCATGATTGGTTCATTAGTGGCTGATAGCTGCTTTAAACTCTTTCACTTTTGCTAATAAATGCAGAGAGAGTTTAACTTGTCTACATCCTGTTACTGTGAGCTCTACCTCGACTCTTCTCATCTCTAGCCGATCGATCATGACCACCATCACCAGTATTTCCTCATTGATGTGCTCTTCGACAGTGTTCAATGTTATTATATTTGCATGAAAGAAAGTTGAGATAAAAGTAAGAACTAATTAGTATAGCTTTTAGAATTTGCTGTTATAGTGATATCCAGTTGTTTTGGCTGGGTGTTAAGTAAATAAGTAATCATATTGCAGGCTTCCAACCGTAAACAAAAACATTCCTGCGATTTATGGTCACTTCAATGGTAGCTGGTTGGCTAGAAAATTTAAATAATTAATCATGGATTAATTGATTACACATTGGTTAATTACATTTGTATTATTCAACTACTGATTCTCAGCAACTTTAAAGATACAGAAAAAGCGTAGACATCAATGGTCGCTGTAGATCACAATCTCACACTCAGAATGTGTATTTTTGTGATGTGTGAGAGATGATGAGTATTAATAATTGTTGCACTTTGGTAAACAGTTGAAAGGTTATATATGTGGTAGCAAAATTTGGGTTGTCAGCTTTCGCTTCCAATAAAAGAGAGTGATTCCCTGGAAGCTTTATTAATTTATTTGGAGAAAATTCCAAAGAAACACAACACCAGCTCTCCATAGTGACAAAACTTTATTTCCTTTTCTCGGGGCAAATGATACAGATAATGCATTTCATCTACAGTCTCATTACTTGTGGTCTCTACGATGAGTGAAGACGAAGAAAACTTAAAAAAAAGAAACTAATATCTAAAAAATTAACACAAAGAAACCCAGTCGGGAAAGTTTGAAACCAAAGCTTTGCATGCAGTACTTTTAAAATGCTGCTTTTTTATGGCCATCAAAAAATGTCAAAGAGATTACGCTCCAGGAGAATCTAATGATCTTAAACGAAGGGTTTATGAATCATTCTTGTTGAAGGGTATCCAGTATGAGGAGCTTACTGATATAATTATTCAGAATGATAGCTACATATGATCAATTTTTTTTTTTTTTTTCACGTACTTTTCTTCGAGTCAACATCCTTTCACATTGTATAAGGCATCAACTTTCATTTTAATCTAACTTTTAATTAAAGGAAGATAGATTTTGGTTATAGATGTTGCAAAGATTGTTTAATTATTAAACCAAAGTTACATAATGTGAAGTCTACGTTAGTTTAATGTATTATATCTTTTACTAAGTNCTTTTTTATGGCCATCAAAAAATGTCAAAGAGATTACGCTCCAGGAGAATCTAATGATCTTAAACGAAGGGTTTATGAATCATTCTTGTTGAAGGGTATCCAGTATGAGGAGCTTACTGATATAATTATTCAGAATGATAGCTACATATGATCAATTTTTTTTTTTTTTTTTTCACGTACTTTTCTTCGAGTCAACATCCTTTCACATTGTATAAGGCATCAACTTTCATTTTAATCTAACTTTTAATTAAAGGAAGATAGATTTTGGTTATAGATGTTGCAAAGATTGTTTAATTATTAAACCAAAGTTACATAATGTGAAGTCTACGTTAGTTTAATGTATTATATCTTTTACTAAGTGGAGAAAAGGTTGTCAACAATTACTGATTAATATATAGTTCTTTTCATTATGGTAAAAGCAGACTTGAAATCTCTTTTCTGCAAGTCAAAACTTACAAAGTAGATCAATGCAATATCATGTGCTACTGTAAGTTGAAAGGGAGAACATTACATAATAACTCACAAGAACATTCATAATTTCTGTCCCATATTCTTAAATTGGTCCCCTTGGCCTATTTTGTTTTTTTTTATAAGGCAAAGCATGGTTTTTCCCTTAGGTAGAAGAATATATATATATATGTATGTATGTAAAGATTATATACGTCAAATTGATACTATATATTATAATATTGTCTTAAGCAAAATCTTAGTTGCTCATTCAGTCATCTTCTGTAGGTCCTCTTACTTGATCGACTTGTCCCCAATTCAACAGCTAATACTTATAAATTTTTTTTTAAAAAAATTTCAAATAGAAAAGATCATAAAGACATTAATGAACAATAAATCTTACTCTAAGAATTAATTCCTCTCTTTTAACAGCAAAAAGAATTAAGGGGAAAAAAAAAAATTTGCAAACAGAAGCTTTTTAATGCGGTTGACTTCCTTCTCAAACGGCTATGATGAAGCGTGTGTTGTTTCCAGGAGACAAAATCATAATCTTTACTAGAGAAAAAAATGAAGGTTTGTGATGCTGCTAAGTATAATGGTGAGAAACTTTGCGTCTACAATTCAGTTGTGGGACTGCCTTTAATTTCTCCTCCCCATTTGTATATGTGACACAACCACCCACCCACTCACTGAAAATGGCCTCTGCTTAGGCATTTAAAACCAAACCTTATTATTACCAATGCTAACTAACGAATCAACAGGAAAAATGAATATGTTTATTAAAACAGGATTAAGGATTATTATTAGTCGATGGTCAATCATTTATGAGGCATAAGTATGGTCTGTTTTTAGCAAATGAATCACAAAACAACAAAACAAAGTGGGTCTGGGTATGATGAGATTAGGGTTTCAAAAGGAGGATTAGGGGGCTAAATTGGATTGGAGTATGCATGTCATATTGACTTGGAAATGAATTTAAGTACCAAAAGAAGCAAGAGAGAGAGTAAATAAGGTAAGATTAATGGCTTGGTGTTAGAGGGTTTAGTCAAGATTCTCAGACTAGGTGTGAGATTTCGGAATATATGGGGACCCATATATCTCATGCAGATGCAGTAGTGCCAAACATTCCTTTCATTCTATTATGAAGAATAATGCATGTCCCCTAAGCTTTTAGATTTTGGGACCTTGGATACCCTACACTACCATATTTGACAGAGAAAGATCATATTCATATTCATATGTATGAAAACATACCCCAACTACTTTAATATTGGAGCTCTCTAAATTTAAACTCAGATTTCTGTAAAACCAGCTAGGATTGTCAACTTCTTTATGCATTAATATATATATTTTTTAAACTGGATTTGTACTCAGGCCATTATAAAGTAAAAGAGATCAGACTGATCAATGATATACAGCACAAGGGAAACAGCGATCATTAGAGAGGTTCTGAGAGTGATTCAAGCTGGTGCGATGGTGCCAATAAGCTCTTAGAAAGTCTAAGAGCTTATTAGCACTCATTTCCTATGAGGAATTTAAATGAAACCCTTTTCCAGAAACTCTGAAAATTAAACAGGATAATGTTTTTCAGTTCCTGAAAACGACCATTTCTAATTTGGAAGATTCAAGGCTATCCCTTGAAGCTGAAATGATCTCACTTAATTGCTTCAGTATAATAAAAGCGCATTAACCTCAATGATTCACCACCAACTCCCATTATTTGTCTCCATTAAATTTTTTTTTTTTTTTTTCTCTAACCTTGTCATTTCATAAACAGTACTGATAAAATCTGGATCACAACAATTTCAATTATTTATTTTCACAAAACAAACTAATTAAACCCAAGATTATAAATAAGATTTTTAAAGGTAAATTAATAAAGCCCTTTAGATTAAAGACAAAAAGTGGATAGTTCTTTTTGTCATCCATGAGATCACTAAAGGGCAGACCAAGCTTCGAGGATTGGTGAGTAGATTTTCCCATTTTGAAATTTATATTAGCATAAATAAAAAAGCTTTTTAAAAGGAGTAAACTCCAAGTCTAAACTTGATAAGAATCTGTATTTGTATTCCCAGTGAAAGCAAAAAATTTATAATTGAATTCGTTAGCAACGAGGCTAGAAGGAAGGAGGCAATGGCTGAAGGTTGTATCAGAAATTGAACCCTACAAACCCCACATACCCTTTTGTAGGGACCATCCTTTATTTTCTATACTATATAATAAATAATAAATGTTTCATTTCCCTAAGTTTAATTGGACCCACCACCACCTGTAAATATTCTCTGTCACTTCCAGTCTCCGGCCACCCACTGCCCCTCTCAGCCGCCACCGCCACCAACCCCTCCTTAATAATCACATCCTTCTTCGGGACTCTAAACATAACAAATATTTTGATTGTATTAATTATAAGTTGAGACTTGAGAACTCCTATTCTTATATAATAAAAGTTGCCTTATGCCTATCCTATTGAGCGTGATAACACGCGCTTATAAAGTGCAAAAAGCTCCACCGTCCATGGCTTATTATATTAGTCGGGGCTGCTAACGTACGCTAAGCCATGCAGTAGGGAAGAGTTTGGTTCAAGTTAGCAAGCTTAGGGCTTTTGGAATTCAATGAATAATAAATCTCTTGTATTATAATTTTTAAGTAGCAGCCATAATTATATATATATGGCCAATATATTTTATAATTTTGTTTTGAGTTCAGATAGTAGCGTGATCTTTTGATGATATATTTCCTTCTCGCGATAAAATGCAAGAAGCATAATTTATTTTTTTTCTTTTTTTCTAATAGAGTGTTTGATCCGTTTAGGGTTCATTAAATATCTTATAAACTTAATGTTTTAAGTAGAATTTATTAAATATCTTATAAACCTAATGTTTTAAGTAAGTCATAAATATAGCATGTGATCTCAGGTCTGTTCTAACTCAAGAAGTCAATAAATGAGCAAATATTCTTAATCGTCAGACCAACCTTTTAGAGTTTGAAAAACATCTTCTTCATAAATATACATTTTTATATCAAGATTGTTGCTTGATAAATGGGTTTGGGACCTCTGGCTACTGAAATAATGATGTTAGATAAATAAAACTTATAACATCCTCCTTCAGGTTCGATGTGCATAAGTGAGGGTTCAAATTCATCATTGTCTTAAACAAACGTGATTCTAATATCATGATAAATGGTAGAAGAGATAACCTGTAGCCTACCAAATTTACGATGTGAGACAAATATAATTTCTAACCTTGCTAATAATTGGTGACCCTTTTGTTTTATTACATTAAAAAAAAAATTAAAATTTAGTTTCTAGATTTAATAAGAATGGTTTAATATATTAGGAAATAATATTATTTTAATTGTATTTTTCTAAGCAGTGTTGTACTATTGTATATAAATAAAACAGTGCTCCTAACTTTCCAAGACAATGATTAACCCCATAAGTAATACCAATAAAATGGCATCATGAAATCCAACATATAAGGTGTTTAATCAATACAAATTATATAATATAATTATGTTTACTACAAAATATAATTTCTTTTTCTTTTTCTTTTTTAATTTGAAAAATCAATCAAATCCTAATATATTTACTAATAAATAAGTAAATAATGGCATTTAAATAAAATAAAATCAAAAGCTTAAATTTACCATCATAATAGAGTCATGAGAATTTACAATAGCGTGAGATATTAAATTAAACTATAAAAAAAACGAGAAAACCAACTACCATGACCGGTTACAGCCGGTAAAAGATGAAAACAAAAATAAGACAACAGTGTCATGTGGAAAATTTCTGCGTCTCTTGAAGCTCCAAAAACCGTATCAGATTTTCATTTTTGCCCCTTTCATTATCATCATCTTCATATTCGTTCTTCACTCCACTTCTATATATAAAAGTTATAAACCACTTTCATTTTTCTTACAACAAAAATATATTACACAAAGACTCTTGAGTTTACACACACAGCCAGCTTTTTTGTGTCATCTACTGTTTCCAACCTTCTGTGTTCTGTCACACTTTTACTCCTTTGGTTTTATTTATCTTTTCAGTCTTAGGGAAAACGTTTCCTTTGTGGCCGCATGGCTACGTATTGCTTCATGGGGTTGTGAGTAGGCAGTTTTGGATTTTGAACTCGTTTTTGGGTCGTGAAATGGGTGATGTTGTAGAGATGGGTTGTTCGGTGCTCAAGAGAAAGCTCAAGAGTTTATGTTGCAGTAATGGGTGGTCTTTTGGTGTTTTTTGGAGTTTTGATGAAAGAAATCCCATGTACGTTTACAATATTTATTTCTTTTTGTCTCGTCTTTCTCTTTGATTGCTTCTTGTTTTTGGATTCAACTTTGTTACAAGATGTGATGTATTTTTTTTTTTTTTCGCATTTCATAGTTCCATTTTTATGTCTTCTATGTTTTATCTTCTTCTTTTTTTTATCGCTGTTTTTTCTGTGAACTCACACATGTTTTCTTATTTATATTTTCCTTCTACAGTATTTATGTTTTTATCCCGGTGGGGGTTTAAGTGCTGTGAGCAACTTTAGTTTTTCGCCTTCTTTTTATGTTTAGTTATTGTGTTGGAATATGAACGTGAAGAGAAAGGGAAAATGTGAACAAATTTTCTTCTTCTGTGGTGGTAACTTTTCTCTTGTTATAACTTCATTCTGGCGTTTCCCATTTCTTATTTCTTTCAAAAATTCTGCTGATTCAGATCTCTCAGCTTTGTTCTTGTTTTGGAGAAAATACAAGTATTTTGTTCTTTACATTTGTGAAAGGCTAGCGCAAGATGGTTTAGAGCTGTACTTTCTGTTAAACATTCCAAGCAATTCCTTCTACTTTAAAGAGATTTTTGATTTTTCAGGAACCAAATCTGGGTTTTGATTCTTGATGAAAACGTCTTTGTGAGCTTGTTTAGATTGTTTCTTTGCGCTCGAAAATTTTAAATCTTTATATAAATGCCCTTTCTGATTAGTAACTTGACTTAAAAGTTTCGATTATAAAAGAGTCAATTATAGCATTAATTGTCCCCTCTGGAATTCTGAGAAAGTAAGAGTAGTTGATGGTTTCAAAATCACCAGTTTGGTCATATTCAATTACAATGTATTTGCTAACTGTAAATTGTTCTCTTGAAATGTTATCAGGTTTTTGACTTTGCAAGATGCCTACTATGAAGAACAAATGGCCACAGTGGTTGATAAAATGCTCTTACAAGTCCACATGCTCGGTGAAGGGTAAGTTTAAAATAACAATCTGTTTCAGTTTTCAGTTTTTAGGTTATACTGATTATTCTATTGAATTCTTCTACTGTTAGTTCCCCAAAATTCATTTACAAGATCATCTGTTCTTAACAGTTTTCATAAGCTCATAAAATTAGAGAGAACTTTGGCAGGCCTGATCTTGATGTTGTTTTTTTAATGTAGAATAATTGGTGAAGTTGCTTTCACTGGGAAGCACAAATGGATGATCTCTGATGCTCTCGGTGGAGAACGAAACTCCACTGGTTCTATTGGGAGTCAGGGTGCATTTCAGGTATTTCATTAATTATTGCTGAGGAGATTGTTATTATATTTATTTCTGTCTAATTGTCAGTAGGGCAAAAGGCATCAGCTTTTGTTATATAGTTCAGTTTCTTCTCTTGAGAAATCAATTTTGTACTTATTTTAAAATTTTCATCTCATTGTACAGGACGATTCAGTCTTTCGTCACCTATTTTCATCTGGAATACAGGTATCTTTTGACTAGTGTGTTATATAGTTAACATAGTTCTGAATCTTCCCCTTATGTTAAAATTTTTGTGTGGTTATTTTCATCATCTAAATCATCACCATGTTTATTTGCATTTATGTTGGTTTGCAGACAATTGCAGTGATCTCTGTGGAATCAAGAGGAGTGGTGCAGTTTGGATCAACCCAAAAGGTAAATCCAATCAAAGAATTGAAATTATATTTATTCTCATCAAAATTTAAATTCCGCAAGTTCTTTTATTACTGGACCTTGTATCGGGGTTTGCTACTTATTGTTATTTATGCATAGTGATGAGCTGTGTTTGACATAAAAAGAGTTCACTTTTCAGAGACCTTATAATGGGCTATTCTTTTTTTCTTGCTGAATTTACATGTTTTCTCCAATTCCTATGTTGGTGTTTAAATTATCAATAATAAAGTCGAGATTAACTGTGGTATGGTTGAAAACATTTTAATGATTGTAAAGCTTTTGCTGTTGCAGATGTTGGAGAGTTTGGAATTTTTGGACCAGACGAGAAAACTGTTGCGGGAGGTGGAAAATTTTATCCAATTGGAAAATGCACCATTATCTTTGAACAGGGAAACAGATGATCTAAATGCAATCTTTGCTTCCCTAATATCATCCGGAAATTCCTTTAGTGACAATTTTGCTCCTTCACATGATGGCAGCTCTAGAGAGCTGAAGGGAAATCCTTGTTTGTTAGCAGATCTTACTCGGTCCTCCACTTTCACATCAGAGATTGACCACAGAAGTATAAACTCATCTCATCTTTGTAATCAATTGCAAATTCCTGGCAGAGAAGCTCAAGTCCTATCATCTGAGAAACCTAGTGCTCTGTACCAGCCAGAGTTCTTACCGTCTACTTCTGTTAAAAACTCAGTTGCCAGTACCCCCTGCATTAGTACATGGAGTAATGAAGATTCTATTTTGACTTCCTTTGAACAACTATTTCCTTCTGAAAGTGAAATTCAGGATTCTTCAAATGTATATTCTGCAAAAGCAAATGCTTTTCGCCATAATCCTCAGGTGGAGTCAAGATTCACTTCAACGTATAGCACAGAGGGATTGCTTGGTGTAGAAAAAACTATTCCAGCCAGTATAGGAAAGATAATGGACAACCAGCACTGTGCTCAATCATCCCTTAAAACTGAAGCTAAACTTCCAGAGATGGCTACTAATCTACCTAGATTGCCAGAGGAGTTTAAGCCAGTTGATTTCACAACAGATTTCTCAAACTCCTATAAAGTGGAAGATCTGTCTCAGTTTTTCAGTCTTTCACAAGACAATATCCTGAACAGAACAGGCACTGCAACAAATACTAATCTTTTAAAGTCAATAGGATCTACTTCAGTTTCATCCGGTATGGTAAATGCTGATGTTTTGGTTGACATTCCAACCAAACATCCATCTAATTCAGTGCAAAGTTCAATCAGCGATGCATTCATATCTGGTGGACAGCAGAAGTTTGCGATTGTTCACGATGTGGAAAATGATGTGTTTGAAGGTTTGGGACTGGATTTTGCATGTGAGCAAGCTGGGGAGCGCTGGGAAGATTATATAAAGCCTGTAGTTGGTGGTGATCATTCAGCTATTAGCACTGGTATGTCAAAGTGTGTAACTGACTTGGATGTTGGTTCCACAGGTGGCCCCCGGAAAGGACAATTCTCTCAGTTAGGGCTTGAAGAAATTTTAAATGGTGTTAGTAGTTCCAGTTCTGTGACTCGATGTAGTTTTGAGGATCAATTATCCCCGGCCAAAAGAAGGAAAATGGAAAGTTCTTCCTCTAATGGTAATCAAATTCCATTGACAAAACTTTCTTGCTCTGATGGAAGCGTGGGTTTAATGCACCCTTTCTATAACCAGGAGATGCACAAGCTTGTGAACAAGAAAGATTTTCTTCTAAAATCACAAGTAGGTTTATGGATTGATGATAGCTATAGCATCAATGCTGAACATTCTTCTGTAGCAACAGCTAAGAAGCCTGAAAAACCTTTGAAGGTCAACAGGAAAAGGGCTAGACCTGGGGAAAGTACCCGTCCCAGGCCCAAAGATCGACAGCAGATCCAAGACCGTCTCAAGGAGTTGAGAGGGATCATCCCTAATGGTGTAAAGGTAAATATTCTGGTTTAAAGTCTTCTATTTATTGGAAATACACAAGGCCTATCATTTTGATGAGAATTTTCCTCAAAGAATGGAGGAATTATTTTTCCAATCCTAAAACACAACTTGTTTTCTTAAAATTTTGTTAGTTTTGGGTTTTTCATATATGAAGGTTGGACATGGCACTTTCATGCCACACTGTAATATTAGGAGGAACATTTGATGCTGTTTAGTTGCTGGTTGACACTAGTATATATAAAATATTGATTTATGGTACTTTTGTTGATGTTACAGTGTAGCATTGATGCGTTGTTGGATCTCACTATCAAACATATGCTTTTCTTGCAAAGCATAACAAAATATGCAGACAAGCTGAAAGAAGCTGATGAGCCAAAGGTAATCAGTTGATTTGTTTGTTTCTGCTGTATATGATGAGCTTAGTTTTTGTTTGTCTCATTTACTGATTGAAAAATAATTTGCCTGTTGTTATAGTTGATTGGCAAGGAGAAGGGAGTGGTTCTTAAAGACAACATGCCCAGTCATAATGGCGGTGGCGGTGCTACATGGGCATTCGAAGTTGGGGGTCAGACAATGGTTTGCCCGATAATAGTTGAGGACTTGAGTCCACCAGGTCAAATGCTCATAGAGGTACAAAAAGGGATGAGAAAAGCTAAATTCCTGATATATGCTATGAATCTTGCTTACCAAATGTGTTTCCCCATTCATTGTTGCAGATGCTTTGTGAGGACAGAGGATTCTTTCTTGAAATAGCAGACATAATTAGGGGTTTTGGTTTGAACATCTGGAAGGGAGTAATGGAGATTAGAGAGGATAAAATATGGGCACGATTCGTAGTTGAGGTAAATATTATCATTAGTAGTTAGAAGTAATAAATTTTAGATGACTCAAATATGCTCATTGGAAAACTGACTGTGAAATGTGTTACAGGCAAACAGGCAGGTAACAAGGATGGATATATTTTGGTCGCTTGTTCAACTTCTACAACAATCATCCACTTTTGGAACTGATTCAGCCAATCAGCCAAGTAATGCCATGGATGCTGGTATTCCTCTGTTAGATAGTTATCAGCAACCTCTTATGCCTGTAGCCGCTTCCAATCAGCTTGGTTGAGACACTTCAATGATTGAGCGCAATGGAAAACGGTTTCAGAGATACCTTGAGCATTCACTTATTGAGGGCCTGCCGTGATTGGTGTTCTGAAAATTGAAGAGCTAGCCACAGCTGAATAGCCTGAACCTGAAGGTGGTTCTTCATTCCACATCAGCCATCTTGGAAATGAAGATGGAATGTGCATAAGGTTGATAGGTTCTAGGAAAATACATTTGAAGAAAAGGCGAGAGATCTCTTTCCGCCTTAATCAAATCCTGATTAGAGAAGGGATTTTTATACGGAGCATGCCTTAGCCTTACACAGGAAGCAAAACCCACAGTAGAAACTTGTCTTGCATGCAATAGGCGCTAGTTTTATGTCAGGTTACATATGACAGAGACAAACATGAAACATGACATGAGTGGTGCTAAGTATGTTGTTTCCTGTTTCTTTCTGATCGGTCTTGCCATAACTTATTAATTGTTTATAATCTGTAGCTGATGTTTGAGTTAGTCGTAGTCTAACCGTTGAATTGTATCTTGGCCTTCTTGTTTGATAAGTAAAATTGCAGAGATTTACTCTTATCCCAATTCCCATATCTGAATGTTGTGCAATCATAGAATTGATTGATCCATGGAGTTTATAGTAATCTACAAATGCGGCACGTATCGACCATTAAAAGGAAAACTAGAAGTCAATATTAAGCAAAAACTTGAATCTATGCAAAGATTTGATTATCAAAATGGGGTCCTCATTTCGCTTTCTGAACTTCATGTTTTGCCTCCTTTGAGTATAAAGTTGTCAAATCATGATACGTTTTTGGAGATTTGATCATTTTCCTAAGAATTCAAACAGAAACTAGTTGCCAAAACCAGTGGTGTAGTTTCTTCAGATGCAATTTGTGTTTGACTTTCTCTTCTTTAACAGAGAACTGTTACTAATAATGACATGTTTTAATATGAGACAAGTGGTAACTAAGTTTAGTATCAGTACTCACTTTTCTCACCATGAAAACTAAAGAAAAGAAGTCGGTTAAATAATGGTGGTCGGTTAGGTCTGTTGGATTTGACCAAATTATGGCTCGTGCTTGCTCCACCATTTTAGCTCAGCTGTATCGCCTGTTGTTGTTATTAGACCAATTAATAAACTCTACTGGAAGTTTCAAGAATTAGGAAAACGATTACGAAGCAGTGGAAGATAATGCTTTAGACATTAAAAATTAATTTGTAGCAAAAGCTAGGAAACACTGAAACCAAATTTCATGCTTGAATCATACACAAAACTCAACTTGATTAACCTTTGATAAAGACACAAGTACGGGGAGTTGAAAGGGTCAATATCAGCTTTTTGCGAAGTAAATAGATTTCATCAGAAGGGGAACTTTTGATAGTTCAGTTTGCCTTTCAAATCAGTGCATGCAGTTGTGTAAAGGTTCCAACTTAGGAAGATAAGTGCTTTTTCTCTTCGAGCTGTGAAATCAGCATACAGACCTATTGAAAGTGTCATTTAAACTTAAGTGCCCCCATTATGAAAAGATTAGGGTAGCTGGATGGTCCTATTCATGACCTAATTCGCCATCTTTTTAAGAGGAATAAACATATACCCAGGTGCAGAATGAGCATTATAAGAATGTTATCAGCTGCATGGTAATTGGCAAGACCACTGGTCCACTACTGGGTTTTTCTTATCTCTTATTAAGAAATGAAGCATTAAAAATCTAACCCTCATATTGGGTTCCCCACTTTACTTGCAGCTGACTCGAGGAAATGATCATGAGAGGTATTAAAAGTTATAGCACTGAGGAAAAGAAAATTTAAAGGATTAAATTTCCTGTAACGTACGTGTGCATTTTATATTACAGTGCTGATGCAAAGACGAATAGTTTCTCAGAATTTGGTTTTGTTGACATCGCATTTGATACATCAACATTAAGAATAATATCATGGATCAACACGGGATTAAAAGTTAAAAAGAACAAACTTGCTACCTGGCCTGACCATAGAATTGTCTCTCTCAGTACACAGTAATTCTAATTTCTACACCGCATGTGCAATCATTATCAGCTTGAAAAAAAGTTATGACATGTTTGAGATAAAGATCATCATCATGTGCACACGCCTGGGAAAATGAACAAATGGTGATGGTGCTTCTTCCTAATTTTCTTATCTGTGAAGAGACAGATTAGAGAGGATTCCTACCAAAGACCACTCAGAAAGAAATCAAGTATGAGCGCAAGCTTTAACATATTCACTGTGTTTGGGACCCAATTAGTGATCACATAAAGCGATGACGTCTGGCGTTAAATCCTGGAAGTTGGAATACATACGTGCTTTTTCCAAAGTTCGGTTTTAGGTCATCGAAGTGATTAAATATTCTCCCTCTGGAAGTTGGAAAACTGCTCTAAAAGAACCAATTTCAGCAGCATTTCGATTAAATGAAATGGCAATTCAGAAAAATTAAGGTTAAGAAGAGTGGTTAAGTCTGTCAAGGTGGTACACCATGAACACAATTTGATGTGTTATTTGACTTAATTTCTTGCATTCCCAGGATAACATTTTGCATGGTTGCACTTCCATTTATGTAACCAAGATCGATTGACAGGTCAAAGCAAAGACACTGCAAGCTTTTTTCTCTACTCATTACAAATTTAACTAAAATTTAATCTTTTAATATTAACGGACGATAATAAATGAATACATCGACACTTGAAAACTTTATTAATATAGATAAAAATAAGAATGATCATGGCCACCTAGATCATACAATGCCAACCTTTACCTAACAAAATCAATAAGAAATGTTTCTCCATCCATTTTAATATTTTTTATTCTCATTTTTGTTTTGAAACAAATAGTGCTTGATACCATATACTTCCATCCTTTATATATAAATATACTTCAGTATTTCTCAGTATTGGCATTCATCATCCAAGCACCACTTTGACATTGCATGGCATCAGGGTCTTGGGAAAATAGCTTTTTTCATAGTCCTGGTCATAGCATAACCAACACAAATAACCAAACTTCTGTTTATCATTTCAACTATCTCAGAAATTTCATATTAATTTGTGTGACCAAGGTACATAATGGCTGGACAGAAGGAAATGGGCAGTGGGGTGGAGTGGAAAATAAGGGTGGCAGACGGGTCATCAGAAACTTTAGCTCCGCAGGCTGCAGGGCTAGCAGGTAGAGTATGGCTAGGCCTGAAGAATATGATTGCAGGTTTTGTTTTGAAAGTGTGGAGATTTCTGGAGAAAGCATGGGATTTGGGCGCAGATGACCCCAGAAAAGTAATCCATTGCCTTAAAGTGGGAATAGCACTCACTGTGGTCTCACTATTTTACTATATGAGACCTCTGTATGATGGTGTTGGAGGGAATGCCATGTGGGCTGTTATGACAGTAGTTGTTGTGTTTGAAAACACTGTTGGTAAGTCTTCTTCTAAGCATAAAGCTCAAAGCCTGAAACTTATCATCATGAATGTCCAAACCTCCGCAACTTATCATCAATCAATTCCCTTTTGATAAATGAGCCTAAAATTTGCATTCTTGGGTCAACCAAACTGTTTGATAGTCAAATTTTAAAAGGGACTATAGTTAGTATGAAACATGATTATTTATTAACTGGCCTAAAATTGAAGGTTTGTAATTGTCAAATTGCAGGAGCAACATTATATAAATGTTTAAACAGAGTTTTTGGAACTATTCTTGCTGGCCTTCTTGCTGTTGGAGTCCACTGGGTTGCTGTTCATTCAGGAGAGAAGTTTGAGCCTCTTATTATTGGAGTCTCCGTTTTCATATTAGGTCTGTATATATATATATATATATATTTAATCCCAAATTAATGGTAATATTTTTGTTGCATCTAGACAAGCAAACTGACCAAATGTTACGTATAAATTTCTTCAGCTTCTGCAGCCACGTTCTCTAGATTTATTCCATCAGTGAAAGCCCGGTTTGATTATGGTACTATGATCTTCATTCTCACCTTCAGCTTGGTCGCAGTATCAGGTTATCGTGTGGATAAATTATTTGACTTGGCCCATCAAAGATTATCTACCATTATCATTGGGACTTCCCTGTGCATTATTGTGGGCATGGTCGTTTGCCCCATTTGGGCTGGCAGGGAGCTCTATAGTCTAATCAATCGAAACATGGACAAACTTGCGAATTCCTTAGAAGGTAAGAGCTTCATTCGATTATTAAACCACATCAGTTAATCTTAACAGTTTTACTAAAATATATGTAGCTCAATTTCCCACAATCATTTCAGGTTATGCAGCCGAGTATTTTAATCAGAGTGAGGAAGAAGCTCATAAAAAATTGCTAGACTACAAATGTATATTAAACTCTAAGGCAACAGAAGAGTCTATGGTATTCACAGAACTAATCAAATCTATTCCATTCATGGCTTAATATAATCTCTCATTGAAGTTAATTGAGTTAACTTATTCATTATTACTTTATATAGGCCAATTTTGCAAGATGGGAACCAGCCCATGGTCGCTTCAACTTCAGACATCCATGGAAGCAGTACCTCAAAATTGGCGCAGCAATGCGCAGTTGTGCTTATTGCATAGAGGCTCTCAATGGCTGTATAAATTCAGCCAATCAGGTAAATTACCCAATTTTCTTTTCTCTTAGAACATTCCATTTATTATATTTCTACATAAACATCATATAAACTTACCATTGTTATATAAATTACAGGGTCCGGAGTTTATAAAGAAGCATCTTAGCAGTAGTTGCTTGAAAGTGAGTTCCGATTCTTCAAGTGTCATAAAAGAACTAGCAAAGATTATCAAGACCATGACAAAATCCTCCACTATAGACTTGTTGGTTGGAGAAATGAATAATGCAGTAGAAGACCTCCAAAATGACTTGAAAACTCTATCTGGTTTATTCAATCCAGAAGATGAAACTCCTGAAAATAATAATGAAACACAGAAAACGTCCCTCAAAACCACTACTGAAATCCCTCTGTTGGGAGTCATTTCAGTGGTAACATTTGCTTCTTTACTGATAGAAATAGCTTCTAGGATTGAAGCTGTTGTTGAAGAAGTCGAAAAGCTTGCAAATTTAGCAGAATTCCAAGTGATGGACCAATGTAAATCCAAACAAAATCAGGCAAGCACTGAAATTGTACCAGCTGACGATCAGAATGATGAGGATAATACCATCAAGACTTTGGAAAAGGTCTGAAGATGTCCAAATGTAAACACTATTATATTGACTTGACCGANATAGGCCAATTTTGCAAGATGGGAACCAGCCCATGGTCGCTTCAACTTCAGACATCCATGGAAGCAGTACCTCAAAATTGGCGCAGCAATGCGCAGTTGTGCTTATTGCATAGAGGCTCTCAATGGCTGTATAAATTCAGCCAATCAGGTAAATTACCCAATTTTCTTTTCTCTTAGAACATTCCATTTATTATATTTCTACATAAACATCATATAAACTTACCATTGTTATATAAATTACAGGGTCCGGAGTTTATAAAGAAGCATCTTAGCAGTAGTTGCTTGAAAGTGAGTTCCGATTCTTCAAGTGTCATAAAAGAACTAGCAAAGATTATCAAGACCATGACAAAATCCTCCACTATAGACTTGTTGGTTGGAGAAATGAATAATGCAGTAGAAGACCTCCAAAATGACTTGAAAACTCTATCTGGTTTATTCAATCCAGAAGATGAAACTCCTGAAAATAATAATGAAACACAGAAAACGTCCCTCAAAACCACTACTGAAATCCCTCTGTTGGGAGTCATTTCAGTGGTAACATTTGCTTCTTTACTGATAGAAATAGCTTCTAGGATTGAAGCTGTTGTTGAAGAAGTCGAAAAGCTTGCAAATTTAGCAGAATTCCAAGTGATGGACCAATGTAAATCCAAACAAAATCAGGCAAGCACTGAAATTATACCAGCTGACGATCAGAATGATAAGGATAATACCATCAAGACTTTGGAAAAGGTCTGAAGATGTCCAAATGTAAACACTATTATATTGACTTGACAGACAGTACTAAAACGAAATATATGCAGTAGATGCTTCTTATTACTTTACATTGTTGTGAATGAATGGTACATTTGCTATATATATCTGTCCATAATCATATGCCCATGATCATCACTTGAATAATACATTCTTTTCATAACTCTACCATCTATAATACTCTCCCCAAGGTCTTAAAGTTAAGGATCGGGTAAACCCTCTAGTGACCACTCTTATTAGCAACCGAGAGAATCAAACTCAAAATCTTTTGAGTAATGTAGATGCAAAAAATCTACCGTTACGGAAAAAGGGACTGATCCCGTGAGGTTGAGGCCACTAGCGATCTGCTGTACCTGCACATGTAAGAAAACAAGCATGAAGCAAACAGAAAACACCGGTGTGGTGTTTGTCGTAGGCACTCCGACGCTCAAGTTAGCAAGGCTGAGTGAGGCTAGTTTAAGGAGGGTTAGGGAGAGGAAAGGTTACCGGAAGTCTAGTCGGGGACTGTGACTACGGCTGTAAAACGAAGTTCTCAAGTGGGAACTCCAGGGTCTGAAGGTGTAATGTCTCTGTGCCTTGTGAGAGGACTGACCTCTGTTTAAATAGTGAATGTATGGTCTTCGAATCCTACTGGGACTGGGAGTCCTTGTAGCGATGGTCCTCCCAAAGGGTGGAGCCTTTGGCTTTCTTATCTCAGTAGGAAAGGGAGGTCGAGCGTGTCTAGGATACGTACCTTAGAGGAATTGGGATAATAATTAACTTCCTTAGTAGAGTTCAAGTAGTACTGTAGTTCGTAGGCAACTGTGGACTCCGAGTTGATCGTAAGACCAGAAGGCATTCTAGGATCAGGAGACTTGGGTCTAGATGGTGAGGAGTTGGGAAAGCATATCGAACGGGCCTCAACTACGGAACTCTGATTTGGGCCCCATCGAAATTGGGCCTGAGCTTTACCCTTTGTTGGAGGTGTTTCCTTGTTTGGGCCAATCTAGGCCCCGGACATTTTTTTACCCTAACAGTTTGCCTCCCACTCTCTGAGTTAAGGTGTGCTTAGCTTAGAGAGTAGACTGCTTAGAGATGACCTTGGTCGGCCTTTGCAACAGACCGATCGAACTTACGAATGTGCAGCTTCTCTGTTCCCTGGAACGAACAGTGTAAGCTCTTGTTGTTGGCGGGGAATTTGGTACGCCAGTGTACCTAGGCAAGATGAAACAATCATGGACGCGTTCGGTACATCTGACCGAGTGGAAAGGTGAGTTGACCATGTCACATTCGTCCGATGCACCGGGATAAGGGGGAGCATGAAGGAATTTCCACGAAATCCCCTCACTCGGTCTTCCCTCCCGGGAGAAAAGGTGGGCGCATCCTCCCATGGCGGTGTATTCGTTCGGTACACCGGGGTGGATGCCTGTGTGAGTTGTCTCCTGGAGTGACCTGACTTGATATAACGAGTCGGGTGAGTGGGCACATGATCTGTTCCTTGAAAGCGTGCCCATTCGGTGCTTCCCGCCGAGCAGATGATGTTAGCTTCAACTGGGTGGTAGTGCCTTAGGCTGGTTGGTTGAATCCAAGCAGAGAGGTGTACGTGTGCTTCAAATCGGGGAAACTTGTTCATTCGGTTGGGATGACCGAGAGGTGGAGTTAAGGTTTCACAAAGCAATGTTCGGTATGAGGCTCGAGAACCGAGGCTGGACAGTCAATAAAAAGGATGGTAACCCGATCGGTCGGACGAACTGGGTGATTGATTACCTTTCGGGAGCGAAGCGCGGCTGGATAAAGCATCTCTTAACACGTGTATGATCAAGGCGTTTTTTGAATTCGGGCAGGAAAAATCAAAATCACGTAGTTCTCGATGACCAATCATAGGACGCCACGTGTTAGCTCTGACACTTTTTCGCTAATAAATATGTGGGGGTGACCGCTCGTTTCATCTTCCCATTCCATTTCTTTCACTTCGCGTTTTTCTCTGAAATTTGGGTTCTCTTCGCAACTTCGAAGGATTTCAGGATTTTGGCCATTTCTACGATAAAAAACTCCTTCCTTTATGCTCTTTTTTGTTTAGTTGCTTGTTTTCTTCATTTCTGTGGTGTTTTTTTGGGAGAGATTGAGCAAAAGTTTGGAAAGTTTTGGTGGATTGGTGGTTTTGGAAAGGTTTTGCCAGATTTTTTGGAGGTGTCGTGTTTTATTTTTAGAATAGGCTTGAATTTTGGGTTGAACGGAAAAAGTAGACGGAAAATTTTTTATCGGCAATTGATGATGGCTTTTCTGAGGATTTTTCTTTTTCTGGATTTCTAGAAGATGGAATCGACTTATACAAGTGTCCCATTTGGCTCGTCTCGGTCTGCCTGACCGAGTCGAGCGCCATGTTCGACTGTGTTTTGGAATTTGAGTCCTCTTGGATCAACTGGTTTTCCAGACCGAGTAGTCGAAGTTGCTAGGTTGGTTTGGAGTTGAAAAATTTGGTGTTTGGGGATCGGGCAGTCGGCGTCTCGGGGCGAGTGGTCACCAAGTGGTTGTGTTCTGGATAGGAAATCGGTCGGTTGTTTAGGTCGGGCAGGGATCAAACAGTGCTAGGTTTTGAAGAGAGTAGGTCGGTGGTTCAAGGCGAGTAGGAATCAGGCAGTGTTTGGTTTTGAAGAAAGTAGGTCGGTCGGTGGTGCAAGGCGAGCGGTGATCAGACGCTGTTTGGTTTTGAAGAGTAAGTTTTGAATTGGAAGAGATCAGTCGCCTGAGGCGAGTGGGTAGATTGCTCAATGTCTGGGTCAGGATCCAGCGGTTCGAGTGGGACCGAGGCAGAGGTTAGGGATGAGTACAAGAATGCCCTAACCATGGTGATGATACCCGAAGGTGGGGGCGTTCCGGTTTGTATACCTACCGAGGTGAATGTGGCTGCCTTTGGGACGAGTGGCGCTAACCCGAGTGATGACGAGTCTGACAGGCAAGGGGGGAGTGGGGAAGACTCCGATGGAGTTGGTGATTTTGGGAGTTCACCCTCCACCGGTAGTGGCTCTAAGGACGAGCCAAGTCGGCCAGGCGGTGAGATACTAAACCGGGATTATCCGCCCTTACTGAAGGACAATGATATGTGGCGGATTCAGACGATGTATCATATTCTGGATTCCATCGAGATCAGGGTACCTCGGTTAAAGGTGGAAAAGTAACCCGCCCAGCCCGGCCCGCTGCGGGTTACGAAGTTTGGCGGGCCGAGCCTAACCCACCTGCCAACAAAAGCAGGCCGAGTTAGGCCCGCCATTTTGGAGAAAATGGCTGGCCTAGCCCGACCCGACCCGACCCGGCCCACCAACCCTAACCCGTCGGGTTAGGCGGCGGTCCTGGCCGGGTTAGCCAGATTTTCTTATTTTTTTTGTTTTTTTAATTTAACTTTTCAAATAAATAATTATAAATATAATTGTTTTTAGTTAACTTTTCAAATATCAATAATTCAATTCAATTCAATTCAATTTTTTTTTTTTTGGTTAACATTTCAAATATTAATTCAATTTTAATACAATAAAATTGTAATATAAGAAAAATTAGACTTATTCATTTATCAAAAAATAAAATAAGAAATTACAACAATTATTGCCTCGTTAAAAACCTCACCAAGAAAAACCCAATGGGAGAAAAACTTGGTAAAGAAAAAAGAGTGCAATAATTGACAATTAATTTACAAATTACATTTTACAAAACAACTAAATTGGGGGTGGTTCACTAGGACCTCCCTCATCTGTATCATCTATATTACAAAATTGAAATGATTCTACTAAAGTATTGTCGATAACCTCGTATTGATCTTGATGGCGCGATCGTTCCCAATCTCGAAGACATGTGAGGACTTCAATCATTTTTGGAGCAAGTTTAGTCCTCCTTTCATTTAAAATCCTTCCACTTGCACTAAATGTTTGTTCGGATGAGACGGTTGAGACAGGAACAGCGAAAACATCCAAGGCAAGTCTTGATAATACCGGAAAAATACATTTTCTGGCTCTCCAATACTCTAAGATATCAAAGTGACATGTTGAAAACATTTCGGGGGTTGCCAAATATTGTTGAAGTTCATTACTCTGCGACTCCATGGAGGACAGTATATTAGTTGTTGTTGTTGTTGGTGGTGGTGCTTCTGAAGAGGAGGCTGTGCTTCGGATTCGGGTCCTCTTCGGCCTATTCAGTGCATTCCAAGAGTATAAGTCTTCATTTGTTGTTTCTTCTGCTACAGCTTCTCTGGATATTTCGCCTCTTTGCGACTGCGGGTTCCCATACCTGTTTTCATATTGGAAATATACTTCGAAAAGACTATTTTTTACCTCTCCTATTTGATTGACATATGATTCGGTTTGTAAATTTTCACTTAAATTGTCAAAACCATTTTCTAAACGTGCTAATTTAATTCTAGGATCAAATATAGCACCTAAACAATAAAGAAAAGGAACGGGTCTCCAATATTTCAAAAAAAAATTTTCCATTGCCTTTATTGGTGCATGTAAAATTTCATTGTCTTTGTTTTTTGTAAATAACTCGGAAATTTTTATAATTGCATGTATTACCAATGGACTAGTAGGATAATACACACCAGAAAGTTGTAAAGTGGCTTGGTAAAAACATTTGAGAAAAGAATGAAATACTTTAGCTATCTTCCAATCATTTTCTACCAAATGATGAGGACCTCTATTATTTGCTACAAAATAACTAATTATATTAGCATAAGGTAAACATGAATCAAGCATTAAATAAGTACTATTCCATCTAACAGGCATATCTAATGCAAAAGTTCTAGGAGACATATTTGATTTTATACAAGCTTCTTGAAATTCAGCATTTCTTTTATTACTACTAGTAATCCAAGCTAAAGATTCCCTAATTCTATCAATATTTTTTTTAATTGTTTTCATACCACTTTTCACAATTAAATTAATAACATGACATGCACAACGTTGGTGAAAAAACTTCAAATTATTATATAAAAGATAATTATTTTGAAAAAATTCTATAGCTTTACTATTAGAACTTGCATTATCTAAAGTTAAACTTATCACTTTATCAATAATATCATAA